CACACACACACACACACACACACACACACACACACACACACACACACACACGTTTAGCGCGGTTTTTATCATCCGTAAAAACGTGATCTAATTTTATGGACGACGCGACGGTTCTCTATATCTATTTATCAACGTAGCCGCGGATACGTTGATCTCCGTAGTAATTTTTTTCTGATTTTTTTCTCTCTCTATCCTTTCTATACGATAAAGCGGAACTAAAGAGAACCGAGCTAAACGCTTAAAACGTTTATCAAATTAATGGCAAGAATTTGTTGCCTTTCTATCAACATATTACATTTTAGATGATATTCGAACAATCCGGAATCTCATAAGATTGAAAATTAATGTTGGAAATATATTTAAATTTTTAAAACTTTAATTTAAAAAGATATTTTTTAATAAGGCAGGGAAATATCAAAGTAATTAATTTTGAGTATATACAATCTCTAGAGTGATATGTGATCAAGAAAGATCGATAAAATTATAAAAATAATATCAAAAGATCTTAAAATTTAACATACAAACGATACGTTACTTGCGTAAATGAACACACTTTTTATTTATAAAAAAATTATTAAGAAATCGAAGAATTCGACAGACATTAGGCAGAAGTTAGCGGACTTGACATATGAAATAAGTGTCGTGTTAAACTTTTGTCCCGCCTACAGCTTGCAAACATAATAAGAAACTAATAAGCAGTAATAATTTAACGCAGCAAAAAACCGATTATGGCACACAATATTGCTTGCGAAATTACAGCAACGTTAAAAATTTTCGTTTCTCTAAAAGATTGCAACGTAATTAACGTTTGTATGCAAGGACGTGGCTTTTTTTACAGTACGAACGAAACAATGTTTGCCGACATAAAATAAATATATACATATACTTATATAAATATGCGATGTTAACGAATCGAATCGGGGCCATGCATCCTGTAAGGAGGCACCTGCAAAGTATAGCATACTTTGACATTATAGAAGCGACAATCACACTATTGCAGATGAAAGTGACGTCAGAGGATGAATCACCGATTGGAAAGCCGAAAGGAAAATGGTAGACAGTCTACCGTAGACTTTCCTTCTACCCTTATCCTTCTTCGTCACATGTGAAGGAAAAGTCGCCGTCTAATTGTGTTCGCGAGCATTTCTCGGTGTCTTGATAAAGCAACCGCAACTCTTTTACGAGTTTTACCAATAATTGTGAACCTCGCGCGTCCTTGGCTCCGTGCGTACGTGCGAACGAGAACGGGGTTCGCTAGAACGCGAACGCGAGCTATTGTTATTTTGCAACGGCGCGAGCGTTTAACGCGACTCGAAGGCTGCTCCTTGCGATTCCACTTTTCCCCCGTCACGGTCACGAGAGATCGCGATATTATTGCACGGCCTCTCATTGACGCATATAAATGATGAATGTTTAATATTAATTAATCCCGTTAATTGCCCGGACTCGTTACATATATATAAATATAAATTCTTCATTAATATAGATATTTTTGACGTGACATTTATTAAATCCTTGGATGACCCGGCGGGGAGATTTCCCGGATGAATCATCCGGCTCGGCGGTTATCTTGATCGGCGCTCTCGATATACGAATTGTAATTCTGACGTAATTTCCGATGAGAGGGAATCGCCGCTGCACCCGGCAGCTTTTCTTCCGGGGATTTCCAGACTCCCAGATTCTCTGAACTCGATCGGAATGAAGCGCTCGCCCGTGAGAGCGCGACGATGAACGAACACAGGGAAAACGCAAGCGGTTAGCGGAAACGCTTCGCGGGAAAGAGCCGGAGGGTACTGGAGGGAGACGTCCTTGGTTGACGCAGTCAACGTTAATACGTATAAAGGATACCGTCCTCGTCGCCGCGGGTACAGACCAAGTCGGGCCGAGCTTGACAGTCATGCCCGTTAACGAGGATACCTCTAACGACCCCACATTGGCGCGGACGAAACTCGGGAGGGCCGGTGATCCACCCGCGGGATCCCGGCGGAAGATGTCCGGGGAACGTCCGCAGGTGGATCTACCGGACTCCTCGTCAACCCCGGCTCTTCCGGCTCTCCCGGCTCTCGCTAACGGCACTGAGGAACGAAGGGCAGCCGAGAAACGGGACTTCCGCAGCATGCCGCGTCGAGACGCTCATGAGAAGCTCTTCAGGGACTTCTTTGAGCTCGTGTTGCAGCGTGCGGTGTTCCAGGTAAGGCCGAAACTTAAAAAAAGGATATATTTATTTCATTCTTTTATTTAAGCACAATAATCCTAATTGAATGAGACAATATTAATTTTATATTAATTTTGTAAATATGTAGGATGTTGGAAATTCCGAATAGAATTTATGCGCAAGTTTGTTAAATAGATAATAAAAAAATTAGGAAAGAAAGACAAAGACTTAACACTGGTATAGAATAAAATATTACGTTGTTCTACGTTTTTGCTAATTTATATATATTAATTTATATTATATTTATATATAATTAACTTATATTAATTTATATCGTTAAATTTTTAATTTACATTAAATATATGTTATATATGTATATATAGAAAATATCTATGTTTAGGTATATTTTTGTATTACCTACATATATATATTTTTTTATTCTATATAATTTTTTCCTATAAAGATTTATTCTATAAAATTTAATTTGAACGCACATCTGCTCCGCATCTAATAATAATATTATTCCCTTCTATTCTGCCTACTTGAATTTACATATCTGTCTCTATAGAGAATGCTATCACTTATTGGATTGATGCTATCACGTGTTATCATTATTCTATTGCAGTGATATCAAAAGCGGTATCACGAATGCGCGATTTCGCAATGTTGCAAGAGAGAAGTGAGAATCTCTGGAAAATTACACTTTCTGGATACCTACCAGATTTTTGCTTATAATGACCATAAATGCGTTAATAGCCAGTACAGATCCTTAATATAGCCAATACGGATGTCACATGATTGACGCGCGATTAACGTTGCATTTTTATGCTAATGCCATTCCATTCATCACAAATACGACGGAATTTACATCGTTTAGCGAGTATAATAGCGGTATTAGTAGCAAATTGCAGTAACAACGAATGACTTGGCGGCAATTAAATCGCCAGTATTGATCTCATTATCATGCCGTGCTCCTTGGCAAATCAGACGCAAATCACATATAAAGTTGACCAGGGACACGTGAGAAAAAACGTAATCCTTAGCGAGAACGCATTGTCTCGCGTTCCTCGAGAAATCCAGCGTATTCTGCGAATTCGTTTATTAATTCCTCGAGGAATTCACGATTACTTTTCCTTAACGAAAATTCTGTTAAATTTCTTGTATTTTCTTTGTTATTATAATTTTTTAGACATTTCACGTGATTATAAACATCAGACTAAAGTACTATTAAAGTAAAACTCACCTAAGATTAAACGACGAACAAGATTTCACTATCCATTTCGCAGAAAGCGGCGTTGTTTCGATCTTTAATATAATTCAGGAGCTATATTTCAATATTTTCGAAAGTTAAATCCGAATTACACTAAGAACTCGTCGGTAAATACATTGCGAAACTGCACTATCCTTCATAATATTTAGACTCTTGAAATTAAGGATGATCTTGGAAATTTTTTATTGATTTTTTTTATCGCTAAAAGAGTCATCAGAGTTAATAGTTATAACAAACAGCAGGATAGTTTGCGTGAAAAGAAAATCACGTCGATTTACAATATTTACATCTGTCCACAAGAATTGAGAGACAAAGAGCGATTATTTTTGAAAATCCAGCCCGGACCGTAAATGGCATTTTCTCTAATTGATTGTGTATCCATACTATTCCATACATCAATCCTGTTTCACTTATTTTATTATTGTTTAACATATTTTTTATCCGTATGTTATATATTATGCTTTGTATGTGTGTGTACAGTCCACCTCCGGAGAGAATCGTGTGGTCGAATGGGTGGATCCTCGCGACCTGCGCTCCGTAGTCGATCTCTCGTTGACAGCCGAGGGTGTCAGCCACGAGGAGCTGTTGACGCTGACGAGCGACATCATCAAGTACAGCGTGAAGACGGGCCACCCGCACTTCGTCAACCAGCTGTTCTCGAGTCTGGACCCGTACGGGCTGCTGGGTCAGTGGTTGACCGACGCACTCAATCCGTCCGTTTATACCTACGAGGTATCCCCGGTGTTCTCCCTGATGGAAGAGGACGTGCTGCGGGAGATGCGCGCCGTCATCGGCTGGCACAGCGGCGAGGGCCTCTTCTGTCCCGGCGGCTCCATGGCGAACGGATACGCCATCAACCTGGCGCGTCACCATAGGTGATTATTTACCGGTTACTTTTCAAGGTATATTACTAGGAAATCTATTATATTTTATTATATTTATATTTATATTTATCTATTTATATTTATCTATTATATTTATATATATATATATATCTTTGTTATATATATATACACTGTTAAATATTGAACGAAATTTAAATTAATACCTTGAGTTAAATAACATTTGATTATTTTTAACTACCATGCATGTGCGCCGAAATTTATTATTTTAACTCAAAACAGTAGGTATTATTTTAACATTTCATTGGTTAATTAAATTAATGACATATACCTATTGAGTAAAAGCAGTGGCGACCTATATGTAGGAATAGTTAAAAATGACTCAAATTGAGTATAATTTGACACTACGAATTTAACAGTGTATAGTTCTTTTTCTTCATTTAAATTATTGTCATCGTCGCTTGTCATCGTCAAGACTAAACGCGAATAAAGTGGGTCGTCATTAATTTCAGATACCCGAACCTGAAGCAATCCGGATTATCGCAGATGCCGCGGCTGGTGGTGTTCACGTCGGAGGACGCGCACTACTCCGTGAAGAAGCTTGCCGCGTTGCTGGGCATCGGCTATGACAACGTGTACCTGGTCAAAGTCGACTCCTGCGGCAAGATGGTGGTCTCCGACCTGGAGGCGCAGATCGCCCGAGCCGTCGAGGAGGACGCCGTGCCGCTCATGGTGTCCGCCACCGCTGGTACTACCGTAATAGGCGCGTTTGATCCCCTCAGGGAGATCGCGGAGGTCTGCAAGAAGCACGGACTGTGGTTCCATGTGGATGCCGCGTGGGGCGGCGGTGCACTCGTTTCCGGGACGTACCGCGGCCTCTTGGACGGCGTCCAACTCGCCGACTCCGTCACCTGGAACCCTCACAAGCTGCTCGCCGCGCCGCAGCAGTGTTCCACCCTGCTGCTCCGTCACGAAGGTCTCCTATTTACCCTTATACTTTTTTTCTTATTTTTCGTATATATACTTGTATCTCTTCATTTTTATTTATTTTATTTAATATATAGAAAAGATAATTCTTTTTTGCAGTTGTTTCAATTTGTGCTAAGAGATATCTATCTCTTAACATTACAACAATCTTATATCTTACAGAATTAAAATATTTAATATACAATATATATATGTCAATTTTAATATTAATTAATTAATTTATACATTAAGCATATGATACAATTTTATTATTCATTATTAAATCATAATTTTTTTTGTCAATTACTTTTAAGCGTAATCGAAGAGAAATATAATTAAAATAGCAAAAAAAAAACTGTTTATCTCAGGATATCTTTTTTTATATAATTTAAATTATGATATTGCGTAAGTGTGATATCTCGTATAACGGAGTTTCACCCTTAGGTTTGTTGCAAGCGGCGCACGGTTGCGGAGCGAGCTACCTTTTCCAGAACGACAAGTTCTACGACGCGTCGTTCGACTGCGGTGACCGGCACGTGCAATGCGGTCGCCGCGCTGACGTTGTCAAGTTCTGGTACATGTGGAAGGCAAAGGGCACACGCGGCCTCGAGGCCCACGTCGACCGCGTGTTCGCGCTCTCGCGCCACTTTGCCGATCTCATCAGGACGCGCGACGGCTGGCGCCTGCTCGTCGAGCCGGAGTGCACAAACGTTTGCTTCCGCTACGTTCCGCCGTTAAAGAGGCACCTGGTCGGCCAGGAACTCGATCAGGCACTCCACAAGGTGCACAGCACTCGAATCTACTTGATCTGAACGCGTTTTTGTTATGCTTAGATGTAAAGCGATGAATTCAAAAAATTAAGCAAATTATTTTGTAAAGTTCTATTTGGAATGACGAGATAATGAATCTAAACGTTCTAATTTTCCACATTGTTGATTGAAGTATTCATTTCCAATTGTGTTATTTTTTTAGCTCTCGCATTTCGAATTTCTAATTTATTTCGTTCTATCTTGCTAGTTTCCGTGTATCTTAATTTTATTTCGACAAAATTTCGTTGCAGATCGCGCCGATGATCAAGGAACGCATGGTCCGAGCCGGAACGATGCTGATTACGTATCAAACGTTGAGAGATATGCCGAACTTCTTTAGAATGGTGCTGCAGAACTCGGGGCTAACTGAGGCCGACATGAAGTTCTTCGTCGACGAGATAGAAAGGCTCGCTGCGGATCTTTGATTAATTTAAATAGCAAATATTGTACATAGCGATGTAGAATGTGTATGTATGTATTATTATTGTAAGAGATAGTTGCACTTGGTAAATCAACGTGACCGTTGAAAGAAAACGATCAATGACGTCTTTCTTTTTCCTACTCAATTTTAATTTATGCGCACCGCATTCAATTTTAATTATATATTATAGTCTTCTGCATTCCTTTTACATCAAGGCAAAATTAGTTCTTTATTATTTTCCTCCTCTTCAAAACTCTTTCATATACCTCTGCGAATTAACAGTAATCAATTTAGAACTTATACATTTAGAGCAAGCGAGTGAAAGAGAGAAGATATTGTACGCACAACAAAATTTCATTCTGTACATGTGTTGTAGAGTTGCAAATGATAAAGAAAGTATAATACTTTAGAGAAGAAATTATAATTAGAAATTGAGTTGGGAAAGACCAAGGAATTGCGTGAGAAAAAAAAACGGCAGCCTGCCTGCAACAATATTCAATCTTTTTTCTTGTTGACTATTACATAATATCGATTGTTGTTGGCATAACAATAATTACCAGATATTTACAAATATTCTTCAGCAATGATTTACATTTACATACAACAAAATGTAAAGTTTTTTGACGATTTCTACACAACTCAATAACAACGTCGTATGCGATAACTGGTCTCTCAGTAATGAGTTATTAATCGTAATAAAAATAATTTACGTTTGCGATGCGTTTGGACTGGCAATCAGTCCTCACGCAGATATGCACAGCCTCACAATATGCACAGGCGATCATTCGTTATTAATTCCTATTTCTATTCTATATAATCTCAATTTTTCCAACTGAAAATTTATTATTTAACTATATTCCTTAAGGAATTTGATGTGGAATTGCTTCAGTGCTTCGAGCATTGTTTTGATTTTTTCCTTTTGCGGCAGTATCGTGGTCCGGAAATGGTATGTGCCAGGTAGCTGGCCGAAGCCCGAACCTGGGATCACGCAGATCCCAGTGTTCTCTAACAGTTGGAACGCATAAAAAACGTCTGGTTCCTGCTTCTTCGCTCGCGCCGCCTCAATCGCCTTCGGTGGCAGCTCGAAGCGCGGGAACACGTACATCGCACCCATCGGCGGATTTGCCTGAAAAAAAAGGCAAAGACATTATAGAAATAATCGTACGCAGCTTTTGTTCTCACGAAAGGACAGTCACCTTATATCCTGGAATACTATTGAGTGTATCGACGACGAGCTGCGATCTCTCTGCCAAGGAGCGCAGCGTTTCCTTCTTCTCCTTCTGGAATTGCTCATACGATGGCTCATTCGGTCGCGGAGGATTCGTCACAACGCCCATTACGACCTGACCGAGCACGGTAGGACACAGCATCGCGGAGATCGACTTCAACAGCACTTTCATCACTTCCGGATCCATGTTGATGATCTCGCCGTAACCGCCGCGGATTCCGCACTCGCCCATATATCCTAAAAATAAAAATATGTTAGCACGAAATGTTCTCCGAATTTTCCGAGAAAGAAATCTATTCATGAATTCTTAACTTGAAAACCAAGATTTAATGTCTTCTCAAATCAAATATCGATGTTCGATATTTCAATTAAAAGAATAAACTCGTGAATGTATAATTTAACCCTTTGACTGTCAATGACGGAAACTCCACACACAAAATTGGCCCGGGACTGTTCATGACGGAAAAATCCGCACATTTAAGAAAATATACTTTTAACGGAGCAATTGGAATAGATTTGAATTTAGCAACCCCAATATCTATATGTTTTTGGGATTGCTGAATTCAAATCTGAAATCAAAGTTGCGAAATTTAAAATGGCGGATCTAATATGGTGGACTGAAAATATAAAAAATTGTTCGATTTGCGTAAAAATTTATATTAAAAAGTTTTTGAAAAACCGCTGATTTTAAATTCAACAATTTAAAACGGCAAATTTAATATGATGTAAAAAATTCAAAATAAGATTTAATTGCATAAAAAGTTTTTTTAAAAGATTTTTGAAGCGGCTGATTCCGTTTTTTAAATTAAAATGTATTAATAATTTAAAATAATGGATTTATATTATGACGGCCAAATAATTTAAAATATCGCTCAGTTTGCATAAAAATTAATTTAAAAGAATTTTTATAAACGTTTCCGTTTTAAATTTTAAAATTTTAACCTCAAATTTTTAGACTTAAAAAAACCCAGAAAGCACCTTTTTTATAATTTTATTTACTCTTTTGTTAAAACCATTTTTGGCCCACAAGTATTTTTTTCGCCTAACAGCCAAGGGATTAAGAATTCAATGTCCCTTATGCCAGTATTTATAGTCGGTTCTTATATTTATAACCATCTTCAGTACAATCTTAGGATGTCATTAACCAATCACAGAACTGTAGCATCTTAAAATATTATACTTAAGACGGTCTTGAAATAAGATCTGACTATACCTATATGAATATACCGGCCATAAATTGCCAAAAAATGTAACATTTTAAATAAATTGCTTTTTGTGACTCCTAACGAGTTATTATATTCCTGATTCCATATCTTTTCTCACGCACCTTTCGAGATTGACATAAACGACGCGAGTTCCATCTTCGAATACGGCTCGCCCATCTCTGTCATGACTTTCTTGAAGGAATGGAACGCACTGTCCTTGTCGTATATGTTGTCCTGATAGACCTCGTCGGCCAGCAAGAACAGATGATTCTTATAAGCGAACTGGATGACGTCTTCGATGTTTTTACGAGTCAATACTTGACCAGTCGGATTACCAGGATTGATCACTACTAACACTCGAGGATTACACGTATCCTTGACCTCTCTTAGAGCTCGTTCCAGCTCGTTGATCTGCAGCGACCACTTGTTGTCCTCATCCAAATAGTATCCAATCTGGGCGAGACCGAACTCCGTCAGAGTTGCTGAGTACAAAGGATATTGCGGAATCGGGATCAGCACGCCGGATGGCTTGCCATTGATCCTTTCGTTGAATAACTTCAGGAATGACTGGAAAGGAAAAATTCGAAATCAGACAAGGATGCGATAAAGAAAGAAAAAATATAACACTAATAGCTAGTATCGCATCAGTCTGTCTAAAATACTAAAATTTGCCAATTTTAATTTTATATACCGCGTATTATATAAAACTCTCTATAATACATGTATATGTAATAATATATACAGGGTTTCCTAATAAGTGGGAAGTATTACAGTGATGAATTTAGGATAAAAAAAATTAAAAAAGTTTACATAAACATATATCCTATTTGACCTTTGTTTCCGAGTTATAAAACCATATTTCTGTGCTCCAGCAATTTACAGCTGCTTACCTTCATACGAAGTGCTCGAAATGGTCATATTTGGTTTGTATTTGTAAACAGTACTCAATATCTCCTAAATATTTCCCGACTTTGTTGACTTCACAAATTCTATTGAATAAATTATTAAGTGCTTCTAGCAAGAAAACAAACTGAAGTGCGTAAACTCAATTAATAGAATGTGTGAAATCAACAAGGTCGGGAAATATTGCAAAGATATTGAATATTGTTTACAAATACGAACCAAATGTGGTCATTTCGAGCATCTAGAACGTTAAGCAGCTCCATATTACTGGAGTACAAACATGTAGTACAAACATGGAGTACAAACTATAACCCGTAAACAAGGTAAAATACTTGTTGATGAACTTTTTTCATTGTTTTTGTGTCCTGAATCTACCACTGCAATAATTCCCACTTATTAGGAAACACCCTGTATGTGCTATTCTCATAAAATAACTTTTTATTCTTGTTACATAGAAAAAAATAATAATAAGATTGCAAAACTTTTCAACTTTTTCTTTACTTAAAATTATTTTTTACTTTTACATCTGTCAATCTATTTGCAGAATATTACTAAATGATTAGATTATTTCCAAATGATTGCTTCCAATTTTGAATAACGAAAAGACAAAAAAAGATGCTTCGAGTCTGCGTACCTTGATACCGTCGGAAGCGCCGTTCGAGAGAATGATATTGTGGTAATCGCAGGGGATACCGCCATCGCGTTCCTGGATATAGCGTGCAATATCTTTGCGAATAATCTCGATGCCGGCCGATTCCGAGTACGAGCCCACGCTGCCGCCCTTGCAGCCTTCCAGGACCATCTGGGCGCGAGCCTTCACATCCTCCGGGTAACTTGGATCGTTCAACAGATCCGGCGAAACCGTTAGAGTGAGCACTTGCCGCAGGAACGAAATGGGTTGCTGGCCCATCGCATGGGCATCGCCCACATTCGCTTTAATCACCTCTTTAAAAGGTTTTTTAATACCCTACAAAGAGAAATGATCTCAAATTCAATCGCAATCCTCGTATTTATTTTTCAAACATTTCCAAATGGCTATAAGCTACACTCTGCTACACAAATCGGATTTTTGTTGAAACGGAAGGTGAAATTTTATTATTTATTATTCGAATCTTTAAAGCGAAAATGCGATTCTTATTTCCAATCGCTTATATATACAATTCAAATAACTATTTATATTTTTCAGCTGTTGTTTCTGAGAAAAATCGATACCTCAATATATATATTGATTCATTAATAAATTAAGTAAAATAATATTTCTAACAAAAAAATACTAAATATTTTTGTATGCGTAATATACCAAAAAATAGAGACTGTCTTTGTTAGAGGAAACAATTACATCTTTTTAAACTGGGTAATAAACTTTGCACTATGAAACTACGTCACCGACGAGCGTTACGCAATTGTATGTAAAACCGACGCGAGAAACGCGAGAACACGTACGCATAGTAATATATGCATATTATTCATCGCATAATCGCATTGGTGAATAAAACGAGTATCTTTTTTTCCCAACAAACCGGCTGTTCGCATTCGTGAGAAATTGATATTCCTATTTTTAAAATGCATCTTCTTTTTACGTGAATGCACATAAAAAGAAGTCTTTCCGAGACCCTGAGTCACCTGGATGCTCCAAAATCAACGGAATCAGAACCGTGCGTCTTAAACATACGTCTCTAAAGAAGTGTGTTTATTTCGAATACACTCTGTATATCCGTAAACGACATAGAACAGTTTCAGAAACTCGAGAAGCGGAAGTCGTTTACGAGGATACGTTATTCTGGGAGATAAAAGCGCGTGTATCTCATCCCTCTCGCCTTCGACATTCTCAATTTCAGTAGATGTATCTTTTTCAATAATTGATTTCTGCATTTTGTTTTCCATGGGTGTGCAGTACGTGCGTTCCTGCTAGCAATGGCGTAGCCGTATATCCTGAGTTAGATAACGTGATAAGAGGCTACCATATGTGTCCAGTCCGTATATGTATATATATACATATATATCATCGAAATAAAAAGGAAAGCCGTTCGCTCGTGGCAATCAACGTCGTTACGTTCTCATGTTCTCACGTTCGGCGACACGAAAGTCTGAAAACCGTCATATCACCGATTGTAATGTTACATGAAATAATATGTTGACTACAATTATGCGTCAAACTAATATGCATACATATACCGATACACGTTATCATATACTTCACGCATTAATCTCTTAGATAAGAAGTTTGCGCACGTTAAGTTTAATTGCTTCCACCAATTTAGACGTTCTACTGTAATTGTCTAAATTCAATTATTTGTACGAGAGATAAATTAGATGAATACTTACAATTAGATGTAAGTAACTTCGTCCTATTAAGTACGTTCTATTTTTTTTTTATTTACTTATTACATACTTAACTGATTTCTTATAGTCTTTTAATATGCTAATTTATTACACGGCTTATTTTTAGAATAGACAAGTCACTAATCCATATATCTCTAACAAAATATAAATAACATCCGAAATATTTTTTCACAGCTTTAACAGCACGATTTTGCATTTAAAAGCGTGGGTTTAAGATTGAGATTTCGAACAACAGACTCTCTAATTTTAACATCGCCTTTTTTATTAATCATTAATTTCCGGTTAGTTCTTGCTCAATGTCAAGAATCCCGTCAAATATATCTAGCGTTATCTTTCGGCTTTATTTACGTTTTCTTTCCCGGGAACGCGCTTATCTTTTATCTCTCGCGTGTGGGGAATAATAAAGCGCAATTTTGAAATAAAACGTATCCTCCGCTCGTGCTCATCCGAGCTCGATTCGCACTTCAAGTTAGAGTTTCAATTAGCGATTAATATTTCCCTTCTCTTCCTCCTCTTCTTCTCCCCCTCCTTCATCTTTGATACTTGGCGTTTCACCATGACAACCTCGCGTCTGCCACCGCGAGCCCATCCCTCTCCCATCCCTCTCTTTCTTTCGTTCACATTCATTCCGTTTACATTCGATGTAACTTGTAACTCATGTAACTAACCCGCTGCGCGCCCGCGTTCCATGCACTCTGCTATATGTATATATTTGCCGCTATAAAATCGCGCCTTTTTTTTTTACTCGCGCTCAGCGGGAATTTTCACTCTCTAGCCCTGGAGTGCAGACATATCGTCCTTGGACGACTCGCTGGCTCCAGTTTGGCTTGTCCTGATCCTTACCTTTTTCAGCTCCTTCTCGATCTCTAGCGCCCTAAGGAGCAGCGGCCCGCGCACCGCGTACTCCATCTTCCGCAGGTTCTCGAAGACGTTGTCCGGGGTGAGGACCTTGCCGCGCGAACTCGCCGCGGCGACCGCCGCCGCGCTCGATGCCATGTCGCGACACTGAATAACCGGCAGGAGTGGCTGGACTAGCATCGGCATGGAGGACACCGGCACCGGCACGTCCGCCATCCCTACCCCTCGTCCAATCAGCGCCCCGCCGCCGCTACCGGCACTCTGTCTCGCCGTCGCCGCCGCCGTCATCGTCTTCGTCGGCCATCCGCCGGCGATCACGGCGTTCCGCAGACACGCGTGCGACATGTTTAGTTACCCTCCTCGTTCTCTTTCTCGTCCTTCTGTTCCTCTCCCTCTCTCTTTCTCTTTTCCACCAGCGAAAGAGGACCCGCGGCGCCGCGCTCTTTCTCTCTGTCACTTTCTCTCTCTTTCTCTTGCCTGTCAAGAGCATAGAGATATAAGAATAGAGTGCGCGAGCGAGCTGAAAAAGCGATATAGGAATAGAAAGAGAAAGCTGCGCAGAATAGAAAGAGAAAGCTGCGCATGGGCCCCTTCTGTCTTTGTTTCGCATGCACGCGTAGACAAAGACAGAAAGGGCCTATATGCAGCGTTCTTTTTCTATTCCTATATCGCAGCCTCTTACGTGCTAGCATATGACTCGCGCACTCTATTCTTATATCTCTATGGTCAAGAGTGTCAAGATGAAGTCCAATCGAGCGGATATTACGCTGGATTACGCGGAACAGGCGGATCACCAATCACGGGACCGTTCCGACGGAATCTTGGGAAGAGTCTATCCAGAACGATCCCGATTGGTGTGATACGCTCGTTCCGCTTTCGCGTAATCTTCGGCTGACAATGAGGCGGCTCGATTGGACTTCATCCTCACTCGTTAACGCGTACAGCTTTCACTCCTTCCGTTCGCGTTTTCCGCGTGGCCGATCCTTCCGTTCCTCGACTCCGCGTCGAAACGACGAGTGGCGGAATCGAGGAGAGTCGAACGAGAATCGTCGACGCGGAAATCGCACACACGCACGCACGCACGCATGCAACACCACGTTGTCGACTCCCGGAGCGATCGCCGCGGGTCGCGGACAGTGGCGGACTGAGTGCGGATGAGGGGCGGCGGGGAGGAAAGTGGTGAAGAACGCGATGGGAAAGGGGAGGAGAGTCGGGCCAGCGATGCTGACGGCGGTGACGAAGTTCGAATAGTTCGATCCAAGTGCCACGCCACCTGGAAACGTCGACGTCGACGTTGATGATCCGGGCAACGGAGGACGACCCGCGCGAATACGAAACAAGCCGGCTGGAGCGACTCGCTGTCCCTGCAAAAGAAATCCCAGTCAGAAATGATTGGTTGAATCAACGTCGATTTGACGTTGACGCGTCGATGAATGACACCGATGTCGAATACTGCGTTGACACTTTTGCCATTTATTCCGACCTCATTATATTTTTATTTTTATCAGAGATGTGCGAAGTGTGCAAACACTGCGAACTATTCGAATACAAATCGGGTGAGATTCGATTCGATTCGACATCAAAAATCCTTGATTTGCACATAAGTTTTTATATTAATCAAGCAATTACGAATATTTCTATAAGAGTCTTATTAGAGTCAATTCTATGTCGAATCGACGTAAAATTAAAATAGAGAGTATATATAATTTTATATATTCAAACAGTGTACGTCTTTCGCACGTTATTCATATGGAATGAAAAAATCGATAAGTATATAGCCAAACCGAAGACCGATCGTTTTACGAAGGTTCGCGCGATCGTCAAAGCTGTCTATGGCTACATTCCAATATTCATTGCAAGTACTGAAAATCTATAACTTACGTAACGTACTGATAGTGAATATCGGAACGCAGCCTATGCAATGCAGTATCAATTTTACGATCGTCTATTATGATCGTGTGATGTGTACGCACATTTATGACATCTACGATAACGTTCGATTTATATTTAACACTATAATATATACGCTTCCATTGCTATCATTTGCGTTCGGTCGTTCACGCGAGCGATAATTGCGAGGAAAAAAAATGCAATTTCGCAGCAATATACAAGATTGTTATTTCGTAAATATGTGTGCTTATTTTAGGAACGTTTATAACAAATCATGAGTGTAATATATATTTTGTGGGCTAGATTAGAGATTTATTCCGTTTAGATGTAGAGAAAGATATCTTCTTGAGACCTTTCAACTTTCGTTTTTTCTTCGATAAATAACATAAGGTCAAATGGAACTGTGTCACTACACACATTTTTGTGAAAAACATTTCATGCGGCAAACGTTTTCGCAAACATATTTCTCGCGATAATTACCGCAAGTCCAAAATCAATATTGCCAGAAGATTACGCCAGCCGGTTTTCGCAGTGGCGCGGAAAGTATGAAATGACTTTCGCGACGGCACTAATCGCCTCTCCGAAGATCAGCTTGAAGTAAGCGAACGAGCGAGCGATCCGCGAAGCGCGCATGCGCGCGCGCACATTTCTCGCTTCTTCCGCGAATCGGGAATCGATAACACCGAACATATAGATTCCTCGGGATTAACTTGGACAACAAACTTACTGGAAAGCCTCACATAAAATATTTAATAAATAAAGGCAGACGAATCGCCAGCATTCTAACGATGTTGGCGGGAACAAAATGGGGATCTCACCCACGTACAATTACTACTCTCATTGGCTGCATTCGGGGAGCGCGCTATTAGCGCTATTTGCTTATTCTATCCTTGTTTTACATTTAATAAGCGATAAAGATAGAATGATACAATAGCGCTAATAGCACGCTCTCCGAATGCAGCCATTATATCGAGCAGTTTTTAGAGGGGCAATTGAGTACGGCGCCGTCGTCTTTCAGCTCAAAGGAAACAAACAACTCTTTTTGGCTCTCCAGCGCCTTCAGTGGAAGTTGATCCGCAATGCCATGGGTTACCGTGTCTCAACATATCAACCCCCATCAACGTAATTTTGGACGAAGCCAAAGAACCACCCTTAATCCAACGCTTTTCTTACCTTATTCACAACTATTTAGTAAAATGTTTTTCTTGTAGATTTAACCCGGTCATCGACAGTCTCGGGTGATCCCTATCAGGATGCAGACCACGTAATATTTAACTGTATTTTAACCCGTGACCAAACGACACCACTTTATAAATATCTTCAAGAAAAATTTCCAACTTATTCCACGGACATCTTTTCACTTCTCAAAAATTCGCCCTCTAAGTTATGTCGCTTAATACTCGCATTTTTCAGTTCATGTAATCTTTATGTTTAAAGATTCCCGCCTTACTCTACCTCCTTTACATATAAACAGCTTTTGCTATCTGCCGAGTTCACTTTTGGAGAATTGTATAATGGCCGATGCTAACCGATAGGGTATAGATGTGCCAAAACAAGACGAAGAAGAAGGGAATCGATAATCACCCACGGAATCGGTGACTCTTGAAGCGAATTCGAGAGGCGGAAGAGTGGCATTAAAATTTTAATTTGTTAAATTCATTTTGGACGCAAGATTGCGTTTAAAATAGATCTTGCCATTCACAAATTTGCGTTTTCCTTCTACTCCTTCTATCCCTCAATCTTGCGCTGTTCTCGAGGCTGTTCTCTTATCTAGTGATTTCTATATCCAATTAAATGCATGCATATATGTTAAATCCAATTTTTTCCAATGATTATAGAAATAAGAGACGCATGCAATAATATGACGAGAGAGTATGACAAATGTAAATAGCGACAGAAAATGCGTAGACAAGAAGTCTACATATATTCTCTTTCCAACTGCACTTTTTTGCATTTTTTTCTATAATCATTCCTTTATCTCTTAACACTTGTAATGCTATCCCATTTTGTATTAACGATGTCGGCCATCGAAAACATTTTAATTATTATCAAAAAGATGTCGCAAAGAAAAATGACATTTTTCAACGATTTAAGATACCGACGGAAAAATACAATTAACATATTCGAGTGCAAAAATATTAAATAAAAATAATATGAAAATATATTTTTAAAATTTCTTTTTTTCGTGCATTTCTTATCTATGTGAAAGCAAATTTTTAACAGCTTTTAACAGAAAATACAATACTGTAACTTTGACAATATTATATATAACATTTTTTAAAAATATATCTTTTAAAATTGATAAACATTTTCTAAAACAATAATGGATAACAGAAGCTTCAATTGTGTAATGATAAGCGTCTTATGTCTATTATTACTAGTTCCTAAGATACAGTGTTTAGAAAAAGTAGTATGGAAAAATTTTATAATGTCTAATTTTTTAATCAGATACAATAAGTTATTAGCAGTTGTACTATTAAACACGTCAGTTAAATTACTTTATTAAAAACTTAATAAATCAAATTGCTACTGTTATTTTATACCTAAAAAAATATATTGTTCCTCTATTTAAAACTTTAAACCTTGTTTTCTCTGAATTTATAATAATAGAGATATGATCTTTTACCTCTAAAACGTAAAGATATATATTTTTTTGAAACTTTTTATTATATAATACATACATGTGTACATATACATATCATACACATACGTTATTTATATACTTTAGTTTATTTCTTTGACCTTTTAAGATTTTTATGGTACACATTTCGCATGTAAAAAAAAATAAACGTACAATAACGTAACAAAGCAGGAAAGAATCAGACCTCGCGCTAATGCAATCGGGATCGTTATTGAGAACCTTCAAATGAAATGATCTGCGAGGTCACGATCGTTGTACTATGAACCTCAAGCAGTCGCGCCGCTTAATAAGTAAAATTATGAACCGATAGCCACGCACATGCCCCTGCGCGACCTTATCTCCCGTCTGATTGACAAAAGCCGCGAATATTAATCGCGAATAACAAGACGCGCTACGCCTCGTCATCGCCCGTGACGAAAATAATCTGCCGCGACGATATCGTGCGTCGGGTCGCCAAACCGTTTCCGACAAACGAGCGTATCCGCCGATCGCCAACGCGTGCGTCGATTAACGATTAAGCGCACGTTCCCGGCCGGACACTTCGAATGCGCCAGTCGATCTTTTGACCGATATATGGCGGGCATCCATGACTAGATCTTATATTTAAGATTGTTCGAAACCTCGGACAGTCTCAAGATTCCGTCCAACAAATGAAACGACCGTGTAACATTTCGAGCTATGAATAATTCCGTACATAATGCGTCGCGCGACATATTCGTCGCAAAGGGCGGTCGAAGGGTTCGCACGGCCCGAAGAGTGACTCACCCTTCTTCTCGACGAATTTCTCGCTCTCGGCCGCTCTCACACACTAACGAGACTGTCGCGATTCCGCATTTTCCGTATATCGCTCCTATCCTATCATATTTTTAGCGAGCGCATTATGTAAGTGCACGTGGGTAAGCAGGTAGTCGGGGGCACATCATCTCCCTCATCGGCTGAAACAATGGCATTTATGCAACGCTTTTATAAAATGAGAAACGACATAGCTGGAAGTTCGATCCCGATCGATAATATGTTCTTTTAACGCGCGACACATCGTCCACATCGATGTAATGAACTTTGACTCGAGAAAACGCCTCAGATTGACCACGAAAGCTCGAGTCACTTTTTTTCTTTATCAGAAACTTGATAAAATTACTCTTTTTAATTTTTAATATTAATATATTTTAATATCATATTTCAATATAAGCGTCACGCAAGAATGCCGTTAAGATTCATTTGAAATTGTAGAATTAAAGAATAAAATTTTGTTATATCAGAATAATTTACGAAAAATCGTTCATTTTTATTTCATTATACTTGCGATTTAAAAAATTAATTGTGACAAAAAGATTGGGAAAAAAAATATTGGAACCGCTCTCAAGCCTCCGTATGAGAAGATAAGATAATCGAAGTTGAATTTATCTTTGATAAAATTAATAATGCGCACAAATTAATATAAGCTTCCTCCTTTTTGCCAACGGTAAGTAAAGAAGGTGGACGATAGTGAATGTAAAATACGAAAGATAGCGACACTTGTCTAATTATTGTCTTTAGTTGCAGGATGGGCTTGTTCCTATAATGTCATCACTCAATAATTTTCACTTATTTTTTCAATAAAAAAGCATCTTCAGTAGGAAAATGTTTTTTGTTGTGATTTTAGACACCAGCTGGGTAGAACTAATTCAAGGCTACGTCTACTGTCTTTTGCAGAAAAAATCTCTCTCTTTCTCTCTAATCGCGGTACGTTTAACAAAAGTACTGCGTGAACGAGAATTAAATCGTATTATTAAAAGCGTCATAAAAGCGAACGAGACTGCCTGTTTACTTCCACTTTCCGCATTTAAAATGAAGTAAAAGCGTGTATTTTTAGTTTTTATGATGCGAAAAAGAAGCGATAAAAATGCGGCCGAATCGAAGCGAACCTAAAGATAACAAAAAATGTGGATGTGCATGGCCTTCGTATCTTCAAAATAAACTTTGATAACTTAATTATTTTTAATATATTTATACAATACACAATACATTATATAATCGCAGAGAATTCAGCCGACAAGGTTGTAAAATATCCCTCAAGTTTCAATATCCTATACGTAAAATCGTTTTGATCCCAAAACTGATTCGACGACATTGTAAATTATTATAAACCGTTGCAAGGATGATTGTTCATTTGACATTACATAATAATTACTTTGACGTTACGCTTTTACTTATTAGTGAGAAAGGTTCTATAATTCCGACCGTGACGCATAACCAATCAATCGTTGGTTTTTAATTGTAATGGCTTCAATGTGATTGCTATACATGTAATTCTTTGTGTTAATTGGCTCTTTATTGCTCTTTATCATTGTGTTTTCAATTGTAAATCTCAGAACCTCTGGTACCTCTGGTCTTCTCGTGCTCCTATATAAATTTTTATTCCGCACAGCGAAACATTCCTAAACGATTTAGATTGCACTTAAAGTTTTCTGAACTGTGTGTTTAATATCCAAAAGCAAAATAAAATGGAAATTTTTGCAGATTTCTCGTCGCGATTTTTTCGATTTTCTTTTCATCGGGGTAATATATATCTCGACGAATACGCGAGCATCTCCGCCGGTGACAAGAGTGGATTCGGCGCACCCTCAACGGGATTTCCCGTTGCACGCGACGCAAAAACTTCTCGTTCTTCTAACAGCTTAACTCGCCGCCGATCGCTATTTTTGGCACGGCGTACGTGCTTCTGCCGTGCCAAGTTCGCGCAAGTCGCAAAACGTTCCGCTCGTTCTCCGCCGCGACGAATCTCCTGTCGCGGTTCTGCCGTTGCGACGACGCTCCTCGCTTGTAATCGAGACAGATTCGCGCTCGCAAAATTTTATCCGATTGTACCGCGCCACCCGATCTGCGTCCCAAAATAAACATAACATTGAATTTTGGGAGACTAGAAAAAGAGATGCTCTCTTCACGACGTTTGAAATGCATATACAAACGGAACATGTCAATTATTTAAAAGAATCAATTCTCGTCAATAATCGTTTAAAGAGGTAAATATATAGGTAATATATTACGTTTCGATGAAATATCGTTGAATTTCTATGATATTCTCGCGAATAAAGCATGCAAGGAGAGAATATTTTTATACATTTCTTTCGACCATTCGCAATCCTGAAAGGGACATTCCTGTACCGATTGCACCCAACCATCTTTATATAGCGACAATGTCGCATATGCGAGAAATATCAACAATTTGCATGGTGACTGATAATATGTTTTCTTTCCGCGCCGTATGCTCGACCGCATCTGGGGAAGTCCCAGAGATGACAGGTAAATCGTATGCGTCAAATGCAAACAATTCGCAGGAATTTGGCAGTGAGTGTGACAACAGCTGCGTATGGCGGATGTTGTTATTAGCAGGTCATTGGTACTCGTGGTTGCGAATCTTCTGAAGTTTCTCGCAAATTCGCCCAAAACAATTTTTATCATAATCGAGCGGAGTGAAATTGGCGGCAGCAATATGGTATCGATAACGACGCGCCATTATTTTTTTCGCGTTTTTTAATTATTTCTCTCGATCACCAAGAGAGAGAATTCAACGAGTATTCAATAGATTGTATATTTGCACTCAACTGAAGAAACGAACAAGCGTATGATTTTAAGAGTAATATTGTAAGAATAAAAAATGAAAAAAATATAAAATACGAAATGAAATAATGTACGATGATAATGATAAATGGCGAACGCCGTGAAACTATATATATAAAAAATTTGCTAAAGATATTGCTCAACTTGACAATTACAGCATATTATAATATGTAAGAAATCCACTTTAAAAAAATTATTTGAAAATGTCTATTCAGATTATTCAATTGCGGTACTGTAATGTCACTTTGATCTAGTCTAGAGGAAAAGAACGAAACGGTTGTAAGATAGAACAGACTTTGTATTTTCACTGATCAATCTCATACAGTAGTCACACTTTCATCTCGTACATATATGTATACATATATATTTTTTTTTATCACACGCTTTCTCTCTCTCTCTCTCTCTCTTTTTCACGAATACGCAAACGCACACGCACAAATATTCTCACATTCTCTCATATCTTTCATATCAGAAAAAATACAAAATTTCCGGCTGGAAAATAGTGTCAGTACAGATACGCGAACAAAATGTCGTACAGACACAAGAGAAGATGAAGATAAAAGAAGTATCACACTATAAACGAGAAATCGAAAAAACAATGCGTTGCCCTTGTCCGTTCTTCATTCTTTCGTGATTCTCCGTAAAAGGAATAAATAAAGGGGCAAATAGAAGGACAAACTTTCTTAGGAAACTTCGAGATCCCCGTATATGGACCTTCGAATATGTTCAAGGTTCAGATCTCGGACGATTCGAATGGACTTTTCTCGAGCGTCGCGTATCTGAAACGTTTCAAGAATTCTAAACAGACGCTAAATCTGGAGTGCTGTATACAGGGTGTCCCGCCACAAACGCGTGAATTCTTTAAGGAATATAAAATCGATTTTTTTTCCTCAACAAAAATGTGGCCGTTTATTTTATCACCTCGTAATTTCCATGAACAATGGTATATGTAAACTACAGGCGTAGGCTTGTAGGCAGTAATTGTACCTATTAGAAGGAGAAAACAATGTTTTACAGGTGTTCTTATCTAAATTGGAAACATCGCCCCCCTTTCTTTTTTTGGGGATTTCGACACTGCAAAATTGAAAAGAATTTCAATTTCCTGTATTTGGAGCTTAGCAAACAGATTTGAATTTTGATTTTATAATCATATTTTATGACGTCCTGTATCTTACAGAAATTCTTTGAAAAAAAACGCTCTTTTTTTTAATAGAATTGCGTATAAAAATATTAGAATGATCTTGAGGAACTAGTGTGCAATCTGTTTACTATGATCACTTATGGGAAAACTATCTTTCAGCAACTTTTAAGTGTCTGTTAAGAGAGAACTGACTTTAATTTGCACTAAATTACGCACGCATAAATTAATATATGTCGCGGAACACATCCTGGATAAATTTAGAAAGAAGAAATAAGGGACGGAGAAATATGCACACATCGGTGTTCTCGACGGATATTCATGACTCTAAAGTTTGTATGTGCACATGCCTCATATACACATCCGTGCCACTTTGTATCGGCAGATGTACGCGCGATACGCAGAAAATTATTAGCGTCAACAACAAACACACTCGCGAACATGAAATTATCTCGCGGGCAGGCATACAATAAATTAGAAATCAATATTAACTTATCGTCATCATTGTCGTCACGTGTACGCTCTACGTGATGCTATATTGAGTATAATGACGTTATATACCTGCCAAACAGACCAATTTTTCGGTATCACATCGTAAAGAGCGAAAAATGTAAAAGAAAAACAAAATTCTGACAGAGTTAGACATGCACACTTTACATTATTCGCGTGTATTACTTTATAATTTAAATACAAATACATTTTTTCCTGCATTCTACAACCTGTAAAAATTACGTATTTGATTTGCGTACTATCAGTAATTTAGCGCGTTCTCTACACATAAGTTATTTTAAGTGAATACTTGTGGTATTACGATGTTAGAAAATTGGTCTGCTCAACAGATGAAAATGTAGCGATACTATGTTTCTCTTTTTAGGATGTTCTCCAAGTTACGCGCCTGAATTCGCGATAAAACTTAATCCACGCGATTTCGAGTTTATCTCGTACGAATCAGGCGCGGTCTCAATTTATCTCACAATCGTCCACGAGCTCGCAAATCATAAATAAATTAGAAGAAAAGTGAGAAGAATTATATATCATTGACAGGGAGAAAAATACGCTCGCTGTGCGTATTTCGACATATAGATTCTTTCTTGAAAAAGTATAACGGAACACGCGGATGTGCGGCCGTTTAAGAGCTTTAAATCGAAGGCCGTTTCTCCGAAGAAGCTAACAAACTTACGGTCGGTACCGTTTCTAGTTTGTTCTCGCTCGCGATATTCTATAAAAGATGAAGGCCTTGTCCTAAGGCAATGACGAGTAACTCACGAGACCGAAGGATTCGATTTCGTTGCTCGGCTCAAACGCGATTAGCTTGACTTTAGTTCGGGAACTAAACAGAAAAAAATATGAAACGATAACAGTGTTCAGCGTCTTAATATAAATCAGTCAAGCCACTTCGCGGTGTCTGGCGACAATTCGATGTCCTTCGAAACTTCTTCATCGTCAATGTTCCTTCGCGATTCACGGAACTCCCTTTCCAGCCGATCCTCGTTTCTTTACGACCCATAAAATTCTCTCTCTCTCTCTCTCTCTCTCTCTCTCTCTCTCTCTCTCTCATTCGTCGACTCTTGTCGAGTCGTGTCCACGGTTAGGATCCACGTTCGACTATATAACACTTCTTCAACGTTCCACTTTTACTTCGCGCTTTCCGTTGACGGTGGCGGCAGCGGAATCGCCTGCTCGGACACCGGTTGTTGCTGCTCCTTCTTCTTCGTCTTCTTTGTCTTCTTCTGCGACCTCGGCGATTCCGTCGAACTCCGCTGTTCGTCGTTCGCCTCTGTATTTCCCTCCGTTGCTTCCTTCGTTTGCTGCTTCGACGTCGCGTGTTTATTTTTCGTCATCGTTTGCGACACGTCGCTATCCTTACGTTGTTCTCCATCCTTTCCGTCACTCTGCTTTGATTCTTTACTCGTTTCGTTCACGCATTTTGTTGATTCGTCTGTTGACATAAGTGCAACAAGCTGTTTCATATTTTCCGCTGATAAATTCTCTATTTTTTGTTCGATTTCCTGTTGGCCGGGAGGGACGATGTTTTGATTCGTGGATTCGGCAGCCGTTGCCGCAATTTCACTTTCCGAGGATTCCACTTTCGCCTGCAAAAAGGAAATAAGATACCAAATGAATAAGATAATTCGTCATAAATACTATACTCATAAAAGAGAAACAATGTGTTTTAAACAAAAAAGATAAAATGTAATTTGACAATGTAAATAAACCAAATTGTTAGACATTTTTTATATAATTGATAATAAAGTATCCAGCGTTTTAACCAACCTGGTGTACCAACGCTCATCATTTCTCACCTTCGTCGGCGCCGATGGCCCTGGCGGAAGCGGTATTGGCTCGTTACTCTGCTTCTCTTGCTTCGCGTCTATCTCCATTGGCTCAGGGACTTGCGAGGTCTCTTCTCCTCGCTGATCCTTCTCAGCGGACTCCTGGACCTCTTCATGTACAGTAGGTTGTTGCTCTTGCTGATTGATAATTGGTGTTTTTGATTCCAGCAAGCTAATGGTATCCTGTATAGTCTTGATAGCGTTTTTACGCGCTTGTCGCACATTCTCCCGACCTTCCGTCTCTATGTCGTCTAATTTGATTAATTCGCGCGTCAGCATCTCGTCCAGGTAAATATATTCCTTGTCTTGCCGGGAACCACCGACGTAACGTCGTACCTGCTCGGCCAAATTGTCCACTTCCTTTTGCACCAGGGCAACTCTTTCCAGAGGATCCTTTGGCATTGGAGGCTTTGGTTTCGGCGCTTCTTGATGTTGTTGCTGCTGCTGATGTTCCTGATGATGCTGAGGTTGTTGAAATTGTTGCTGGTGATGTTGCTCGTTATGCGATTGAGGTTGCTGATATTGCTGGTGATGATGTTGAGGTTGTTGCTGGTGTTGTTGCTCGTGATGTGATTGAGGTTGCTGATATTGCTGGTGATGATGTTGGGGTTGTTGCTGATGAGACTGAGGCTGTTGATAATGGTATTGGGGTGGTTGTTGTTGCTTCCGTATCGGTTGTTCAAAAGCTGCCGGCTTATAAAACACATCTTGGAAATGCGATGGTGGCCACTGCTGTCGACTGAAGCGTTCATTAAAGTGTGACGGTCTGTGGAAGTGATGCGCTGGTGGCGACGATCTGTCAAAGTGGTGGGACGGCGGCGACGGTTGTCGTTGATGGTAATGCTGCTGGAAAGTGGACGATGGCGCGTCATCAGTCGCAATCTTTGGCATCACCGGTACGTCGCGACCCTCCACAAAGATGGGGATGTGTCGGACATTGCTGGCTGGTTTACTAGGCGACTGGGCGCGCTGCTGCTGCTGATTGTGCTGCGGCGTAATATCTACTCGGGACACGAATCTTTGACCTTGACCAGGTTGCGATGATTGCTGATCTTGGCCTTGCGGTTGGCCTTGCTGTTGCTGCCAGCTTTCCGGCGGTGCCGACATCGAGCGCTGACCGCGCTCACCCTTCTCCGGACTCATCTCCATGTCGCAGCGTCGTTGCTGCTGGCCTATGTCGACTGTGTTGCGTAGACCGTACTGCGGTATCGCGGACGATGACGTCAGGTCGTGCTCGCCACCGCCGCCGCCGCCACCGCCGCTGTGCGAGCTGACAGCACTCGCACCACTCGCGGCGCTGCTACCACTTGCCTGGCTACGCGCGTCCTCGTCCACCTGATGCTGCTGACCTTGCTGCTGGTCGTCGTTGCTACCACCGGATCCGTGACGTCGGCAGCGGCGGTCACGCAACAGGGAACCGCCGAATGGCCAAGGCGGACCACGCAGGTGCTCAGCGAACTCGGGGTGACGCGCCGCAAGGTCGTCCAGATGCGCGCGGATCCCGTCACCGCGCGGACGCTCGAAAACGTCGGCGGCGTCGTCGTCGAACGGGAAGCCCTACGGAGACAGACAAAAACTTGATGAAGTCGATGCCGGTGTTCTCAATTACTCATACTGTGACGACTAAATAATTCATGACTTGAACTGTTTGGCAGGTGTTTGACATGTGCGAAAGATAAAACATAAGGTTAAAAGATAAAAAAAAAAAAACAGTTTACGCAATATTGAGTTAATCTATATGTACATATATGGGTCTCTTTCACCAATAATCATGATAAACGAATATCTAAATAGCAATGTTCGACTTTAATCTGGAAATGGAAGATTAAAGACGTTCACATTGAACATCATATATTGCAGCGAATTCGCTTGTACTATGCGTTGGTGCATGCTAAAAATTATTATGCAGGAAATTATCTTTTAATGAAAACACAATGTAAACATTTTTACCGATAAGATACTCAAGCGTAATATTATCACATTTTTAATGAAATGTATGCGTCAGAGTTGGATATCATTTAAGTTTCTTCATATTACGCTCTTGTATTTAAATAGTTTCACGTCTAGCAATCTTTGTAGTGCGTGAATAGAGTTGCATGTCTGCCGAATTTCGCTATTAGCGAATTCGATTGTCCGCACAACTTCGCAGCGGACAGCGGTGCACGCGAAGGCCGTTATGTATGAAGTTATCTGAGCGTGAACCTTTAGCGCACACCTTCAATGCGGAACAATGCAGGCACCGAATTCGGGGATATCCTTCGACTTACGCCAGGTTCATATTCGCTAAAAAATAAAGGGCGACTTCGACTAAATTGCAATTAACTTAATCGGCGATTAACTTATCAAGCAGTATTTCTATTTTGTTATAATGCGGATAAAACAATTAATTTTTTGTTGTTTAATACATAGATAGAAAAATTAAGTTAAATTAGGAACGAGTTATATGTAGTTAGAAATTGTATAATAAGTAATTCTACTAGTTGAATTAATCACCGATCAAGTTGATTGGAGTTCGATCGAAGTCACCCTCACAGTGACAACTGCGTGCGACATTCGAATCGTATCGACTTCGATCCGATGAACGCGAGCAAGGGCGCTGAAGGGGAAATTCGCGTAATCGGGCACGAGGTGACGAATCCTCCTTCTTCTCCTTCTCTTCTTCCTGCGGCGAATCGAGGTCGCGTCGTCGTTCCACTTAGCGCGACCGACGGACGCATGTTACAAGAAAACCATACACGGGACGCGAAAGAAAGAAAGAGAAAATGAAAGAAAAATGGCGGTAGAAGGGACAAAGAGAGAGAAAGAGAGAGAGAGCGAGCGAGAACTGGGAGAGCCGCTTATATACGCGCACCTACGCCCGATAATCGGATTTTCCTATTTTCAGCCCGGCTGGCCCTGGCTAACACGCCACCACCACGTTAACTTTTCGCTATCAACCGCGAAAGTGACCCATAACAAGTTACTATTGTGCTCAAATACCGATGCTTTTTGAAATGATAAATTTAGAGTGCCTTCGATCCAAAAATGGATTTTTGACGCACTTGTGCGTCGCTTGCTATTATTGACGATCTCGTCATTCCTGTCGAATTTATTTTAACGGTTTCAAGGAAGAAGGAAATTCATTTTCTCATCTTCCTTCTTCGCCTTTTCTTTCCTAAAGTTTCTTTAATTTATTTCCGCTGGATGATATCATACGGGGAAACGGTCGCTCGATCTCGTTTCTTTTCGGTTCTTGGTCTCCGTCTTCGTTGGAACACGCGCAAATACGCCCACGCGTGCACGCGAACCATCCGTCGCGTTCCAGAACATGAAACGCCGAGGGAAAAACGTCATCGGGACGTGGTTACAGAAAGGAGTCAACCGTATGAAGTAATCCCCCCTCGTTACTCCTTGCCTCCCTCGGCGCGATCTCGCCTAATCATACGGCCGGTATCGAGCGTAGGAAGCTATCTGATAACGTGACCGGCGCGGCGTGACGTCATGCCGCGCCTTTCGACGTAACGTCGAGCCGCTCGTTAAGCCCATACCAAACTATGCATTGAGGATTGCGAATTAGAGATTAAGGGCCCCCGCTGTGAATGAAAAATATAAGGAACAAGGAACAGATATTAGCGATTAGGACTAAGATATCAGGAATAAAGCTAATGTAGCATTGATACACGGCTTCCGATAAGTTAAAAATCTATTATCTGTGTTATTCCCTTGTTTCTGTTGCCTGTGTTTTTCATTGTGCATCCAGTTTTACTCCTGATTCTTTAGTCCTAATCGCTAATATCTGTTCCTCGTTCCTTATATTTTTCATTATGCGGGGGCCTTTAGGATCGCGAAATGGAGATTAGTAAGTATTCGGGACATAACGGGCGAAGATCAAAGTCATCCAATTTGGTCGAATTTTACTCCAATTCGCTATCCTCAATCTCCAATGATCTGATTCGGGCTTTAGTGTAGGTATCGACCACAATAATAACGGCGGTCTTCCGAGGCGTCTAAATGGGTTTCGTGACATCACGTCTGGTATTTGATGGTCACGCATCGCGATTGTTCGCGATAACTCGATGATGCATCAATATACGAACGCCGGTTTTCTTTTCATTATGTTTGTTTCTTGTTGAGAACATTTGTAACACATTTTATATCGTCGAGATATCAATTAGCGAGAGAAAATTTTTGTGACAATTATAACAATGAAATACAAAATTTCTAGACGAATGTCGTGACTCGATAATAATATATTTCTTATTTATTATCTTTTTTTTTTGTCGCGACAGAACGCGCCGTTCGAATGCGACGCGAAAAATACGGCGCGAATGCTATTTTTGATTTCCACGCGATCTCGAAACGCGGAATGCGAGGAGCCAACGGCGGATGGGTGGAGAGGTGGAGGAGGGGGCCAAATATCGGTAGGGAGAACTCGCGCGGTATGGAAATATCTCGCGTGCGCCGCCGATTCCTAAGGTCTGGATCGTGTCATCTCAAGAGTATGAAACCAGGAGGAAGAAGAGGTTCGGGCCGCCACCGTGTGCGTCCTATTCACGTCCCTCCGTATCGTGTTTGCGATCGGGACTTAAGCGGCAATAGCGAAGTAAGAATCGCAGAGCGGCAGCAGCGCGTAATCCATGACGCACTACAGTCCCACACGAAAACGTCGCCAATCCGAGATATACGTAATCGTTTACAAACGGACAGGTTTTCCTGGTTAGGGAGAAGCCTGAATCTCGAACTTCGTGCTTTCGGGAAGGTTCTCGCGGAGTTTCGCCGGAGTGTGCAAAACGGAGCAACCGCACGCGCGGAGAAGCCTCCCGTCTCCCGTCTCGCGAGAAAAAATTTGACGCATTAAAAGAAAAGGAAAAAGAAAAAAAACAAGTGGATAACGTCACTTACGGGGAACGAGCAGCGGTCCAGATCGATCTCTCGTCCGAATTTGGATGCTGCATCCATGATGACAGGCGAGTCCATTTTCTGGACCCGTTCGAGCCCGCGTCCGTTTTTGGATACCTGTCACGCACTCTCTTTCTCGCTTGCACCAGCGGTTAGAGAAGGAAAGATCTAAAACTTTACTCTCTCTCGTTTCTTTTGCCTCCTTCGTAATATACTCTCGAACAGAATCTTTTTTTAGCGGTTCTCTCGCGAAAGCGCGATTCGAAGACGTCGAGAAAAGGTTGCTCCGAGATTTTTCTCGAAATCTCCACGATACCTTCTCGCGTTCTCTCTCTTTCTCTCTCTATCTCTCTCTCTCGCTCTCGCTCGTTCGCTCACGCTCTCACACGCTCTCGATATACGTATATATATATATATATATCTGTTTCTCTCTCACTTTGCTCGCTCGCTCGCAATAGGCTGACACTCACTCGTGCTTCTCTCTCGGCTTTTCCTCGTCTCCTCCTCGCGTTTCCTCTGCCTCCGCCGCGATTACATAAGCAACACGGCCGCTATACACTCGTGCGCGTCTCTCTTTCACACTCGCCTCACTGGCCGTACTTTTTCAAGGCCGTTCTCTTCGAGTCGTAAAAAAAAAAGAGAAGAAAAACCGTGTGCACGTGCGTTTCGCCGTGATTGCGCGCGTGATCCACCACGAACGCGGTTGACAACGAGACTGACAGCGCGCGGGCTACGGGCGACAACTTAAATACTCGATTACGTGTAGGCCGTGCGCGACCACGTGACCACCGGCGGCGGCGGCGAGCGCAGGCGGAGACGGCCGACGACGGCCGACAGAGCGGCCGAGCAAGCGCGAGAACTCGCTAGAACACGCTAGAACTGCTAGAAGCTTCTCGTGGCTTCTCGTGCCTAACTTCTCGCTCGATCGAGAAAACGCGGAAGCGTTTACGTTACGTCACGGTCGACGTTTCATTCCGTTCTGTACGATATACTTTCAAAATATTGAGAAACATATAGTTATATTTTTTCTTTTTTTTTCTGCAAATTAAAATGTAAGAAAAAGGACTCCTTTTTTCTGGAAAATTATATTTTTGAAAGTTGTTCCAGATTGTTCTAACTTTGTACCACGTTGTTCCGAATTAATAAATCATTTTATTTTAAACGGTTAATTATAAATGAACAAAAAAAGGCTTAAGCTTAAAAATAGAAACAAAAGAAAAAGGAAATGCGAGACGGTGAGACAAGTCGTGAAAGATCCATTCGTCTCGGTCGCTCTTTGTGACTTTGCTCTTCTCACCGAAGCGTATGTGTCTTGTGTCTTGTTCTAGGTATGTACATCAGAAAGTACAAGAACGTGCGGAGGTAGACCGGCAGATAAGGACGAGAGAGCGCGCCACGGTCAACCGAGAGAGAAGAAAAGAGATTTATGACCTATATTTTTAGTCTCGAGCGAAAGGACCCGTACTGAATTACTCGACTGACCATGATCAATCGCAAAAAGCGTAAAACCCATATCAGACTATATACGGATTGGGATTAGATTGAAGTTTAATCAATCAAAATAAAGAGAGAGAAAACTAATTTCAAGTTTAGTGAACTTTGCTCCGTTTGGTTAAATTTCAATCCAACTTCAATCCTAATCCGTATAGGTAGATATGGGCATGGCATTCAGAGGTAGCTTGAGCGCGTAGCTCGCGTACCACGCGTTCTCCCATCAAGCGCATTTAAAATAAAAATGAACGTTTGACTGACAAGTTTGACTGACAAGAGAGAAGACAGTGTAACGAAGAAATAGCGATGAGCATTCTGATTCGCGGAGCTATGCGCGGAGGGATAACGAGTTCGGCGAAAATTACCGAACCCGAAGCACCGATGTTCGCCACGTAACTTTAAATGGGATTTGTACGTGTATTACATGTGACGCAGATTATCCGCGAATCAGAATGACGTAACGTGGCGTAATAGCGTAACGATAAACAGCGTTTTGTACGAGCGCCCAAACGCGAGTCGCGCGTGTCTCGATCGCTCGTGGGATCATCGATAATGACGATCGATGATCTACAGTGATCGATAGCGATGCCAGGAACGCAGGAGACGCGAGGAGGTCGCGCGAGTCCGACGCGAACCGGCGAAAGGCTCATTCATACAACGGTAGAGGGATGTGGAGGAGGAGGAGGAGGAGGAGGAGGGGGGAGAAGAGGAAAAAGAGGGGCGAAGGGACACGACGCGCGACGGCGCGCAGCGTGAAATTTACTTAATTCATTAATGAGCGAATCGAACGGCAATAAAGATTACTGCGAGATTTCGAAGCTGTAATCCCGCTTTCAAAAGAGAATAATTTGCGAAAAAATCTTGTTTTTTACTCTTTCTATCAAAATGACGCATCAAATAAATGTGAAGAGTTTCGATTTTTGAGTTGCGAACACGTTGCGCCGCATTTAAACTCCGAATCGCCGTGAAGTCGAAGAAGTCAACCGAGCGAACAACAATCGCGCACTTTTTGCATTACGCAATTTGCGTTGTGCAACGCGCGGCGAAGTTTAATACGTTAAATATATAAATAACGCTAACCGTGTGTGTACAATATCATTGCCAACATGCAACATGCGTGAAGCCGCAATCGCGGCGCATTTTGCCGTCGCAGGTCGCGAGATCACGACGATCACACCTTTCGACTCCTCCAAATTCAATCTTCTCGAAAGTAATGGAAAAACGAGGCAAAAGTCACGTGTAAAAAATGAACATTTCTATCCACATTTTCGACTTATTGCTTTATGAAAAAATATTTTTCTTAGGCATTATTATAAAACTTTTCGGAATGGATTCCGATCGGAATTATTCCGTTTTCTCTTTGAAACGCAATAAAAATCTAGGAAATAACTAAACAATTCCGATTCCGAATCCATTCCGAAAAGTACAATACGTGCCCTATTCTGTTACATTTTCCCACCCACCGAATCGATAACGAATTACGTTGTGTACGAAGTGGGTCGAGCGCTTGTCTAAAATATCTTTGCTGCTTTTAAAAATATACGAGAACTTGACAATGCGAAATATTCAAGGACATACCCTTTTTATCACACTCGAATTTTTTCATATCTTTGAGAATATGGATACTTCAACTACGAATGTTGAATGAAACAATAGTCAAGACCCGGGCACATAGAAAAACTTAAGCAGTAAGCAAATCAGCCAATCACACCCAAGAACTTAAGACATAACGTAAACGGTAGCGAATCAGTACCGTTGATTTTCTTACTGATGCTTACGTCTTTTACTGCTTAAGTTTATTTCTATGTGCCCGGGCCTTGACTATTGTTTCATTTATCATTCGTAGTTAAAGTAACCATAAGAGTTTTCCTTTCTAAGTCGAGATTAAGGACAACTTAAGGGGAAGACGATGAAAAGAGTCATCTCCGGAATACACACATACATATACACGCGCCCGCACGCACACGCATACACATCTGCGGCACGACAATTCGCTTTACGTAATGAGGCACTTTTCTCTTCTCTTCTATTGGCCCATCGCTATACATAACCGAATCACCTGTTCCGCATTGTCAACGCGCCAATTAGCATACTTCGCGCACAGAACACATAGCGGCATTATCGTGTTTTCCGGAACATTGTCAATCGATAGGTCGGTTTTGATTGAGTGGGCGGGTTCCTTTGTGGGCGAGTCCCACTTTCGCGACCATTTCGCAGTGATGATTTATATCTTCGAGAAGCGCGAATCTCGTTTTTCTTAATTTTAATGTTGATTTTATGTCAAACTTTCGGGAGTTTTACGAGACGTGGCTTGCGGATTTTTCCATCAAAGACATCTGCGTCGTTAAGGGACTCCCGGACTAGGACACGCATATATACATATACACATGCACGCACAGGAGTGTCGGAAATACGCCGCTTCCCGAGAAAAGCCGAGATCGATAGGGGTGGCCTACCCTCGGATGTACCGTCGAAACTCGTTTCGGGAGGGAGTCCACCTAAACACGACGCTACTTCGTTTCTCCAGGTCTATTCAACGACGGATGAGTGATAAAGGCCCTTTTGGTTCGCAGGATATTGAAGTTAAAGGGTGTCCGGAAAGTGCCTACGACTAGGGTATTCATTCCGATTGCGGGGGTTGCTCGGGCTCCATATTATATATAATATCAGATCGAGAAATTCTTTCCTTGGTTCTTACACTAATAAAGAAGAATATATCGAACGATGCGTCTCTTGCGATAAGTTTGATAAATAATAATCACGTGATCTTTCTAGAAATGACGATTAAAGATAAAGACGTTTTCGATCAAATGGCAGGATTAAAGCTGAAGAGCTCTTATATATAAATAATCGTTATTTATTCCCTTCCCTCTTTTTCTCGATATTTTTGGCATGATATATCAAACCGGAGAAATTTATTATCTTTTTTTTACCATATAGCTTCTGCCAATAATAAAAAAAACTCTATAACGATAAAAGATATAAACAGATCTTTTACGAACAATCTGATCTTTTTTAGAAATGACAACTGGCGATGGAAATGCCTTTGAGAGTGGCGAAATATCGGAGCTCGTCTGTCATCGTCAACACGATCTTAATCTTCGATCGACGTATCAATATTTACCTTGCGTTAAAGTTTCGCATTTACTCGGAGAAAAGTTTTAATTAAACGAGAGAGATACACGATCGCGAGTTCTCTCGATTTACGTACGATTCGAATCGTTTCACATACGATCTGCAAATATCGCGGTGACAAGAATAAGCCAGCAAATCCGGGAGAAAAAGTGTGGATCGACGCCACGTCAGAACCTTCGTTTGAACGACCGAGATGATCGTCGAACAAGAGAATTGGGACGGCGCTATAAATATAAAGAAATTCGGCGCAGCGCGCGAAACAAGCTTTGATTTATTCGTCGCGAATTTAAATTTCGCGCGTGATGCAGTGGCATCGAAGACGTAAACGGCGTTACCTATTAATATTTGCACCCATTTTTAGCCGGTATTCGTAGTCAGGTCTCATACTTAAAACCGTCTTCAGTTTATCTACAGATGCTTCTTAGCTAATAAAACGATACATATACATATATATATATATATATATATATATATATATATATATAGAGAGAGAGAGCATCCAAAGATGAACTTAAGACACATCTTGAATAGAGGATCTGACTATGAATACTAACTTTTTTTCAATACTGAAGTTTGTACATACATCAATGCTTATATTATCTCACCTTGCGGGACGAAAGTAATTAAAACGTTTGTGATTTTACTTTTATCTCGCAAATTATAAAAACTCTCTAAAATCGAAGAGTGAAATATCGCTCAAAACGAGTAAAATGCAAGTGTAACGAAAATTTGAAAATTGAGCCTGTGCACTTCAAGGAATTCGCCACTTTAAAAAAGAATAAAATTGCGCTGTACAAGCTGGAGTGAAATCCAGTTGGAGCACTCCATTTTTGAATGAAAAGGGCACTCTTTTCGAGTGCAGTAGATCAGTGCGTCCATAGGAGCGAATTATGTCACTCTACAATTTTGAGTGGAAAACCACTCTGTTAGAGCATTTATCATGCAGTTGATCTTTAGTTAATCGTTATTCACTACAGCTTTTGGAGTAAGATCGTATCACTCCGATAGAGTAGCCACTCTAAAAATTTGAGTGAAAAATTCACTACTTTAACTCAGAATTTCCTCTTTTGAGATGAGTGCCCTCATTTACTCAAAGTAGAGTAACAACCCTCTTTTTTGGAGTGACCATATCACAATAATCATCTAATATATTAGTGATGACGAAACCACTCTATGAGATTTAGAGCGAATACAAACGTTGCATGTTGGAGATATTTGGTGGCAAACAGTGCGAGAACGGATGTTAAACGGTGCAAAGATTTTTTCCCTTTCGATATGATCGATCGATCAGGATGAGAGGGATATGAGGCAGAGGGAAAATAAAGGTCGATGATAAAAAGCACGCCGCGGCATATCGTGGACACGATCGTGAATTCCAAGCACACTATAGCGCGAGGAAGAGAAGGGCGCGCGAATGACGGCGAACGAACAATATACCAGTATAATACTCACTCTCGGCAAACGCGGAAAGGGCCGGTCGAAAGTGTCGCCCCTGGTGGGTCTACCGGACTCGAAGAACGCGTCCCCGCCGTCCTCGTTGAATCGCTGCTTCATCTCCCGTAGCAGCTCGTCGTCGGACATGTCACGCACCCGGTCCGCGAATCTCGGCGAGTCGCGAAAGTAGAACGACATTGTCGCGAGGCAACACAAACGCGACGCGCCTTTTATTCCCGGTCAAATCTCGCGACGATACACGAGCGGTTTGATTACACAAGATCGCAGTTACTTTCGTTTTCTTTCGTGCTCCTTCGTATCGCGGAACTAATACTTCTTACCAGCTACATTCCCGCGCAAAGGTTCGCGCGTTACTGACGAGCGCTCAAGCGGCTCGAATCAAGCGCTGCGCCGGGAGTGCGCCGACGATAGCATTTGAAAGGGCGAGCTCGCACGCGCACGCGCACGCGCACTGACGTCGCGCCGTCGCTCGCGCGCATGAGCTTCGAAAAAGGGCTATCAAGATGAATTCGCGTAGTCACGTATGTATACATGAATCATTTTATACGGAGGAATTGGCCAATTAGTGCGCCCGACGCAAACACGCCATATATTGGCGCACTTATTTATAATCTTGAAAAGCTCAAATGATTAAAAATCAAACGTACAAAAACCGGGCACAAAGCCGTAAAAAAGTTGTTCGTGTTGAGTTATTTAATAAACAATTGATTTACAAACGTTTCGGTCCATATCTGGCCAGGCTCAGTGTGATTAACAAAACTTTAAATAAAATGCAATCGGCGCATGGAACGCAATATACAGATGCCGAACACGGTAGTCGGAATTTAATCAAAATAAAGAGTAAAATAGTTGAAGAGATAAACCCGGTTACATGATCACCGATTTATCAGCGATGACATCCCACACCGAACACCAAAGGGTTTAACTTTTCAACTATTTTACTCTTGATTTTGATTGAATTCCGACTACAATTCGATATCTGTATATTTTGCGTTTCATGCGCTGATTGCGTTTAATTTAAAGTTTTACAATCACACTGACGATGGCCAGATATGGGCTGAAATGTTTTTACAAAACGTGTTTATTAAATAACTTAACACAAACACCTTGTTACGGCTTTGTGTCCGGTTTTTATACGTTTGTACTTATATATTGTTAGACATATGCGATTGATCGATTTTTAAGAACATTTTTGTTCTGACGGGAAAAATCTGGATAAATTTAAAACACCTGTTTAAATCTATTTGTTTTCAGTCCTGCCACCTCATATATATGAAATTTTGAATGAAAAAACGTTATTCTAATAAAAAAAACCTAAAACATAAACAAATCTAAAATAACTTAATAATACATTGTAATGTCTTCGAAAAACGAACATGTAGTAGAAGAAATAAAAAGAAACCATTTGACACTTTCCCAAAAAGAAACAAATATCTATTAAAATGGGAAAAAAAGAGAGGAAAAGTCCAGTATGCGTCACTTTCATGTGTAAAGTTCGCATACTTATTCATTGAGGTACGTGTAAATTTTCTTTCGCTTCCTGTTTTATTATTTACATTAACGATATACAAAATGTCAGTACCATTAAGTATGTGCCATTTTATGTGTAATAGAATTTACTTAGAATAAGAACAAGAGCGTTACACAGCCTCTTGCTTGCTATTCAAAGAAGAAATAAGAGAAATATATATGTGGAAGAAAAAACACTAGAATAAAAGAACAGATTAAAAAATATACATAAGAAAAAGTACAACGGAATATTCAATTTGTAAGAATTTCTGCCTGTTTAAAGGACTACTTCATAGAAATTAAAAATAAATCCCCTATACACTCGATTAACCATCTAAGGGACGTATTCGAATATATACATCAACTTGCATTCCATATATATGCAATATGTAACAATTATACAATCAACATATCTCCCAATGTAAAAAGAGAACACATGCCATATGCTGTTTAACACATTATTGGCCAGCGATATTTTGCGCAGATAAAATTAGGGTTTTGGAAATAGATGTAATAATTTACGAAATGGATGACTATAGACTATAAAGGATAATTGATATCTGTACATTTAAGAACATAAAATCTTTTTTATAATAAACCTTTCTTAAAAAGACCCATTTAGCCTTTCTTTAAAAGATCAGTCGTTTAGTCTTTATAACATCTAATTTTAGATCGACCTTTTAATGTGTTAAGACACGCGTGAAACATTGCTACAAATTTAGTAGCAGTCCATCGAATTGACGTCATTCTGCTTGTACATCGTCAGTATGTCGTCTAGAATCGACTCAAAACTACTGGTATACGTTTTCAGCCAGCGATTCTTCTCCTCGATGTAAGCGTCGATGTCCCAGTTGAAGATCGCGTGGAGGAAATCTTGGCGCGTTACCGACGAGATGTAACGCAGTGTCTTCTTCTCTTCTTTCTCCTCCTCTTTTACCATCTCGGTGTCCATGTTCATGGAGTTCTTGTAAATGGTTGCGAGCAGATTGGCATCGTTTGTATCCACGATTTCCTCAATAATGTTTGAGACATTTTGCATTTTCTCATCGTAGATAGATGAGAGAATGGACGGTGTTTCTTTAACATAGACGGTATCTATTACGGAGTGGTTTTCCACCGGTGACGACGGTTCGTCTAACTTGTACTTAAGCAGGCAGGTTTTCAATTTGCCGATTATCGCGGCAGACACTTTGCACACCTCAAAGTCGCTATCATCTTTTAGGGTAACCAGAAGCACCTAAAAGTTTAAGGGAAAAAATCACTCAAGCTATCAATATTTACTTATTAATAATTTATGAATTATATTTATTCATTTAATTGCTTATGGACTGATAGATTTAAGAATGTAAAGCTCGTGCCCAACATCAGAATTCTAACTAATTACTTACACCTAGGCAACTTTGTCTCGCTAGTTCGTCCAGTGCCTTATTAAGCCTCCGCTTAATCTCGGTTTCGTTCAATGCCACGATCTTCCTATGCTCCTTGGAAAACGTCACGTTTGGGAAGCAGTTGTCAAGCATTCCCTGATCAGTCAAGTGTGATTTGACGAAGTGGTCCCAGAAAGATAATGCGTTTGTCTTCACTTCCCAGTGCAGATCAAACACGGCCGCTATACACATTGCTCGCAACATCGAATTGATGACCTCTTTCCTGCAAATTGCATGACATTAACTATTCTACAATGTATATCAAGTATTACAAATTTATAAACCCTACGTACGACCAGTTCTGATGAACATATAACTCCTTGATTAGAGTCACAGTCTCTCTCCTGACTATTGCCTCGCTTTCGTTCCTGAGTAGATCAATCGCCGTTTCCTATAAAAATCGGTTAACTCATATAACTCATCTTCTTCAACAATATTCGAAAAGCGAGTAAGGAAAAAGTAATAAATATACGTACAGATAAATTTACTTGCGACAGTTGCTGCTCCCATAGCTTGTTGATGCGTATCATAGTCGCGACGAATGTTAACGCTGACGCTCGCACGTAGCTCTCATCATCTGTTTTAATGATATCGACTGCCACTTTCGGAAACTCGTTAATCAACAGAAAGTCTTGGAATGCCGGATATTCTGCGAAAATTTGCGTATTTTTATATATTTTATTATACGTTAATTATGTATGTTGTTATGTATGTATGTTGTTATGTATGTATGTTGTTTTAGCTGTATTAGTCAAAACAAATAATTGTGAAACTTGAAGAGGCTATCTATATCAATACTCTGATTCGCTTACTGTATTCAGAAATAGTCGCGATGGTGTTGAGAACCTCGAGAACACTATCTCTCACTTCCCAATTGGGGTCATGCAATCTTTTGAAGAGCGTAGGTCCGATCTCGTTCATATGGCTGTCCGAATCCACGAGTAGCGCCAAATTAGGCGGCATAAAGTTATGGATGGCGAGTTTGCACAGTTTCAATGCCTTCACACAGATCTAAATAGAAATCAAAATTCATCATCGTTTTCCAGTTTCTTTTCCAAGTAACAACTATTACGACTGAATTTTTCTCACGCAAACAATTAATTCATTACTCTGATTTCAGCAATCAATCTTTTACCGTCGGTAGTATCCCAGGATGATTGAGAATCTCCTGTGCGAGGGATAACACACATATCGTTTCCACGCATTCCTGCCATTTCAGTTTGAATTTTTCTGTCATGACAGCCAAGCCATCGAGCAGCGACGCCAGTAGAATAGGATAGTTGACTATAGGATCACCGTCCAATATCGATTTATACAGAAACTTTCGCGGATTCTCCGAAGGAGAGGTGCTGTTTATGTCTGATGACGTGCAATTCCTCGCTTGCCCGCACATGTCCGGCATGTAACTTTTCAAGACGTGGCATAAGGCTTGGAAAGCAATCACAGCTACATCCTGATAAAAAAGTACAATTACAATTACAAAAGTTAATCAAGATTTAATTTAATTTAATAAATCGTATATACTCACTCTATCCATTATGTCTGATATTTCAAGGAGTATATCGATAGAAACTTTACAAATCTGCTCCATTGGAAGATCCCCCTTCCGTATAATGTCTCTCATGCTGTAAGCTAATCTTTGTACAGTGGTACACGTTACGTCGAAAATTTTACTAACAAACATATCGAAGAGATCGTGATTCAAATGATTCTTCTTTATACAGACGCACAGTGGTATTATCTGTCAATAAATTAAAATCAGTTTGCTTTTAATATTAGTATCCAACTACACATGCATATTAAATGCACGAGCTGTGACTGACTTACCATTAATGCGATGGCTTGGTGCTCAAACTTGTGCTCCTCCGGCAGAACAAATTCACGCAATGTAAGCAACTTTTTCCAGTATGTCATAGAGAACTTGTTGTTCTTCACCAGCTCTATAATGTCCTTCTTCGACAACAACATCATAGAAATGTAGCACAGACCATAGCAGAACTTGTGCCATGCGTCAATGTCGATCATTGTGGTGTTCTCCTTAATTCCTTGCTTCAGCTTCAAAAATAGTGACAATAGCAGCAGCTTGTGCACATGTTGAAGAAATCTAGTGCTGATACAGGCCTCGAACAACGCCTTCACCCGCATCTCGAGGTCTACGAGTCTCTCGATCAACTCGGGAATGCTGTTGTCCAAACTCGCAAACAGAGTGTTCTCCATGATGCTGGTCAATAAGTCCAACGTAGAGCACAACAGTTTGTTCTGCTCCAGATACGTCTCCTCCAGTGCCTGGTGCATTTGTACATTCAGAATATTGCTCATCAGGGGAGCAGCGACTGTCAGAATGATCTCTTTGCACGTCTCAGTGTTTTTTTGTTCATGCAGCAGCAAGGTCCACAAGAATTTCTGACTCTCCCTCGTAACGTACATCGTCTGATTCCAATGTGCGTATTTCACAACGTCCTTCCATACACCTATCGCGTTTAGGAAGAGAGTAGTAATTTGGTAGCTATATTATTTGTAAATTCTTAACATATAAATCTTAATAAGCTTCAAAATTATTATACATTTATTTACATGTATATTATGATTCGCAAAAATATAAATGTTCTGAAAAGTAACGCTTTTATTCTTTTGCTTTCTATAACACAATTCTAAATAGACACTAAGCATTAATATTATAGTTTTGTCTTACCAAACTGTATTACCCACTGTCTGCCGCTTCGATGAACGATCAAGTTCGACAACATTGTGGTATATGCCATTTTAATGGACGCCGGCAAATCTTCTCGGTGCAATTGCAGGACTTTGTAGAGTCGGTTGTATACGTCCTGACATTGCCAGTAGTGATAACGCAGTTCGTGCCGCGAGATAATCCCTACCAGTTTCAGCGTAAACGTGATTACAGGTTGCGAAGCCTTCTGTCCCGACTCCCATATCGCTAAAGCCTTCGGTATCCATTTTTGAAAGACCTCGCAGTACTCGTAATCGACCGTGGCACCTGTGAGATCCAGGAAGCAAAGTAGACGTAACCGTTAGCAAAGTAGATGTAATCGGAGCGACTAGGTGAGAAAGCCGAGCATCCTTTCCTTACATTCTTTCGTGTTCTCCGCAATGTGGGTGAGCAAATGATCTAAATAGGTTGTCGAGACGACGTTGTAATCCGGCAAGAGGAACAAGTCTAGAACCTCCGCCAATACCTCCTCGTTCTTCCCTCTGCGTGAATTCATTGCGATGCGACGTGATTGCTACGACCGACACGACAGATCCGCCTCATAGACCCGCTCCAATCGCGTGCGAACGAGCAGCGGAGAAATCAACGATGTTGACGCAACGGGAAACGGAACGGAATTTTATTTACATTCTGCAAATAATGATTAATACTTATTGACAAGATGAAAAATTTGCGAGGCGCTGATAAGCCACCATTTTGGGAAAATCAAGAGAAACTTGAGAGATATATCACTTACGGCATTTTCCAATGTGGGTGATAAAGCGTCCTCGGCGTTTTAAAAGGTGTAACGAATGTAACGATCGACGGGAGACATTTTTTGACACATTGTGAAACCGCTTGATCGGCTTGATCTTTAGCACGTGCACCAATGCCACCAATGAGACACGCATCCAAAAATAGGTTCGTTTCCGCGCTAATCCGCGATGTGGTCGATAACGCAGGTCTCGACCTGTATTCTTTAGTCGAGACACGAATCCCCGACTCGACGATACGTCAGATTTCTGCATTACCGACGGTATCACCGAGCGGCGCGCGCAAATTCAATTATTCTTATAAATATATTGATCACACGCAATTACGCGTTTCATAATTAAAGGCTTGCGCAAAGGAGTAGACAATGTTTAATAGCAAAAACGTGACTGTATTTCATAAAAGCTTGAGTAAAATACATACTATATAGCCGTGAAGCATATCTGCGTAATTACAATTATTCAATAAGAATCTTTTACGTTATCATAAAATTCTATACCATATACGACCACTTATGTATATATATATCGAGCGATACGTATACACACACGTGTATTTTATATGTATAAACACCGTTCGATACAACATAATAAACAACGCTTTCACCTGATTCTCGCATATCGTTTAATGTATAATACACCTGTTATAAACAAGGGTTCTCAGGGCATGTAGCGACAGTCACCTTGCATTACGAGATCGGAGGAAAAAGAAGTGCGCGAGGGAATCACCCGCGCATGGATATGGACTTGAAATGAATCTTGTAACAAGCGACGGTCGATCTCGTACGTTTCTCTCACGTTTCCTTCGCTTCTCGCATCATAATTCATGGTAACCAGCGTACATAAAAAATCTTCAAACAAAAAAAACCAGACGATCCTTCGGTATTGACCTCTACAATTTTTCAAAATCTCAAGATCCAAGCCTTCCAGATTCCGTAAGCCTGAAACGAAGAGATTTCCTCGAAACTTCGCAAGTAGGCGTCGAAAGATATCTCGAGGCCTTAAAGAAAAAAAAAGAAGGCGTTAAAGTTCTAAATTTTACAACTAAAGATATTGAAGTTTTAGAAATAAGATTTCGAGCTTCCGAAATTTGAGAAGTTCAATTTACCGGAACGTCCTCGTAGAACAAAGACGCCAAACTCTCCGATGTAACGTAACAGATTAACGGATTAACGCAAACGTGCATCGTTGGTATAAAAAAAACAATTTATTAGGAAATAAACTCTTGAATGCAAGATCTGTCTCTTATACGCAGCGCTCGATACTACGAGATCTTAATAGGCTTTCCGGCTCCAGTGTATCAAAATTCCCATAATCCAACTTTTCTGCAAAATATTCTAAGACTAAGGGATTTATAATTAAGGGACATAAGTTCTTGAGGCGATGTGTTTCTTACATGTACGGCAATCCAAGATTTCAAAATCCAAAGATTCTAAGAGCAGAAAACTCCCGAGACATCCGAGCTTAAGGACTAACGAATTTAAAAACACGAAAATTCTTTAGATGCTTTTTACATGAATTTTACGAATAAGATCCTAAAAATATTGTGTGAACAACATACAATTTTGTAGGTTTACATTGATCATTAAACAAAAATATTTAGTATTATGTATCTATATGTCGCAAGAATTTTGTGTATTCGTTTTTTTTTGCAAAAATAGAGAATTACAAAAAACCGGGACAACGTGGAATGAATAAAAATTACACAATCTTACGAGATTTCAGTAATTTTACAAAATCTTGGGCTTTATCAGTGATATCTAAGTTAAAATTTTTATTAATTTATATTTATAAATATATCATAAATTACATTTATAAATATAAGTAAATATAAATTTTTATTTATATTTATATTAATAATTTTTCTTCACTTCACAATATCCTTGTTCTTTTTTGTGGATTCTCTAGTGACTTGGGGAAAAAAAAAAATTACACGAAATCCCTGCGACATATATATATATATATATATATATATATATAATGTATATATATTTGTATTATACTTATAGACACTTAGTTATACTTAAGCGTTTAGAGTGTACACTCTATTTAGATCCGCAAGTTTAGATTCTCAGATCGTTGGACTGTTGAATCCTTGGAACTTTAGGGCCTTGAATTGTCACATTCTCTCTCGCGATTTACAATTATCAAATTCCAACTTTCTTAGATACCGAAGTTTCCGCGATCGCTGAAATCTCCCCGGAGTCTGACTCTACCTAATTTCGTATGTTTTCAGATCAGACAACTCCCATCCGAAGGAACTAACAAAATCTTTCCTCTAGAGTTATGCTTCCGCCTCTACCAGTACTGCGTGCGCTAAGTGATTACTCAGGCTCAAAGCTAAACAAATGCAATACCCGTTAAATCGTGTGAACACCGCGACACTACACCCTAGTTACTTTCGTTTATGTTCTTAAACGCACAGTAAGATTACAGTAATATCGCAAATATGACGTGTAAGACCGTGTATTCATAATCGGTTCTTATATTTAAGACCATCTTAAGTACAATCTTAAGATGGATTATGAATACCGGTCTAAATGTCTGTTCAGCGTTCGCGTTCAATATTTATACTATGGTTACTTGGAACATGGAAGCAACATGTCAATGTTTTTTTTTTTCCATTTTCTTATGTAGAACACTCAAACGATATTAATTACATAGTACGACAAAGAGCACGGTCTGAATGATATTTCAGGCATCATAAGAGAGGAGTCATCGAAGGAGCGAGGTATCGAAAAGGATCACTCCGCGACCAAGAGGCGAGACGCTTTCGCGACTGCGTTGTTTAACTCTATATCTGCCCATTTTCAGATTGAAATAATCACGTCCCTCTCTCTTTCTTTCTTTCTATCTCCCTTTCTTTCTCTTAGCCGTAGCCCGTGTGTTATACATTAGAGCTGAAGTAGTTAACAAACGGAAACATCCAAGAAGAAAAAGCGCCGACGATGGTGTCTCGAACCCCAGTACGGGTTTCCCGCATATCTCTTAGCTGGAACGCACCGTTTAGAGAAGTACCTTGCGCGCGATTATATAAAAGGGGTTTCTATGGAGAGCCCTCTCTTCAACTTGGCGACTTATGTTTTCGCGATGTCCATCGGTGATCCTGGATGGGGCGCAGCGACGGGATTCGGCGTAGGATTGGGAGCGATGGTCGGCGGTCCGCCGGCACTCACGATAGTGGGGGGAATCGCCGGCTTAACAAAACGATCCGAGGTGCGTCTGCTAGATGATGCCACAATATGTCCCTGTTTCAGCAAACATTTGCAAACACAAATAAAGAAAAAAACATGATAAAACAATCATTCTTCAGAAACGCCAAGAAGAGTTTTCTCACGATCATTGATACAATCGTTGAGCAATGCTAGATTCTAATTGAAGTAAAATTGTCTCATGGTAAGGAAAAATCTTTCTTTAACACATAATGACAAGGGAGATTATGTCCCACCTACTTATTTAATGAAATAATCAATTAGTATCCAGCAATGATTTCCTACATAATAATTTACCCCAGGAGGCGACGAGCTCGCAAACAGAGGGGCACTCGGCTGGCCACAAGCGTAGCATCGGTTTGTGCTGAAGCCTTCTCTAGACGTCGAACCTAGCACGTTAATACCTAGTGATAAAATATGCACTCGCATAAATTCGCTAAACATAAAACATGCATTGGAGAGAAAATGCCAATTCTATTCTTATAAATTTTTATATTGATATATTCGTTAGACGTTCCATTTATTCACATAAATTTTGACTATACAGCTCTTGTCAACTTACCAGGACTTAGTGGCCTTGAGGAACTAGGCGAAGGATTGTAGGGCACAGGACTGGATACCGTACGGGTCCTTATGTTTCCCCCAGACATCACGATTTCGTTGTAGTGCCGTTCCTCTTCCATCTCCAAGCTGCGAAAATCATGTCTGTGAGATTAGGAATAATAAATATCTTTCAATTCTAACTATAAGATTCAGTTATGCCATTATTATGAAATTTGACGGAATAAAAAGGGATACATTTCAAGATATTATACAAATAATTAGCAAAACTTAACCTACCTGGATTCAGACTCCGAAAGGTGTCTACACAAAGCCTCGCGACGCTCCACCTCCAGCTGCAGCTTTCTCTGCAATCTCAGATTCTCCTCGCGTATTTGCTTTTCCTCGTTAACGTATCGCTTCATTTTTTCCGTATCTAAAAACGACCGAGTTTAGGAGACTGAATTTGATGAACTTTTCAGAGCACATATTATGGAACTTTTCGGAACAGATTCCAATCGGAATTGTTTAGTTATTTCCTAGATCTCTATTGTGTTTTCTGGGGAAAACGTAATAATTCCGATTTGGAATCCATTCCAAAAAATTCCATAATACGTGTCCAGTACAGATTAGAAACTAAGATAACTAAGATGACGTCCTTACGTTCTTGCTGTGAAATGAGCAAGGTATGCTTTAATCTGGCGACCTCGCTTCTCAGAGTCTGAATGTGCGTGCTCAGGTTCGTGGCGGTGTCGCCATTGTTGATCTCCCTGGGTGAAGTAGGGTCCGAGACAGGTTGATCCAACTTGATCTGCAGTATCCTTTTCTCGGCCTCGAGCTTATCCATTCGTTTCCACAGCTTGTTCACCAACGCCTCCTGTTCCTGCTCCAGAGTGTTCTCTAACTCGACCTTCTCACGTCGCAGCTGCTCCAAATTGCTCTGCTTGGCCAACGTCTCCGCTTCCAGCTTCTCGATCTTTCTCATCAGCTTATTCACCAAGCACTCCTGCTCCTGCTCTAATGTCTGCTCGAGCTTGCATTTCTCTTGCCGCAGCTGGTTCAGTTTTCTTGACAAGTCGTTAGTAAGACATTCCTCCTCCTGTTCGTAGTGGTGAGCCAGAGTTTCTTTCTCCTTCTTCAAAGCCTGAATCTTCTTCAGTAGAGTGTTGCTTATGAATTCCTCTTCCTGCTCGGCTTTAGCTTGCTGCAAATATAGAGAACGCGAGTCTCACAATCAAACATAAAAGATACCTGCTCTCACTTTCAACAAATATAGAAAGGACAAATGTAAAATAGAAAACAACTGGTGTTTCAATTAACGTTTATAACTAAACTCATCTCATGGATTGTAGGATGTAATATTTGATACTGATTGCAATAAAAAAAAAAAACTGAGAAACAGGGAATCGCGACTCTCACAATGATGACAGATGCCTGACGCAGGCTGCGGTTCTCCTCCTGCAGGGCCTTCACTCGCAGCTTGTACGTCTCGAGCTCGACCTTGAGCACGCGGTTGTGCTGCTGCAGGGACTCGATGCGCTTCTGCAGCTGCTCGCGCGTGACCGGCGACGGCGGCATCATGATCGGCCCGCCGTCGATTGAGCTTGAATCACTCTCGGACGCGCTATCGCGATCGGCCATGTTTCTCTTCGCGGGTAAACGACAACGACGACAACCACGGCGACGACGTGGACGATGAGGGGGATACGCCGGTTATCGCCGGCCGCTGTTCATCGCACGCGAACCCGGGGGGAACGGAGCGTCCTGTCGCCGGCGTGCCCACGTGCCACGTGCCCTTCTCTCTCTCTCTCTCTCTCTTTCTCGACTTCGCGTCCGCTACCCGCCCGGGAGAATATCGTCGGAGACGTCGGAGTAATGCCGATTTTACCCGTAGCGTGATCGTCGAACGGCGGACATGTGCTCCCCGTATGTACGCGAGGGACGATACCGCAGAAAACCGATATCAGCTGTTTGTTTGCACCGCACTCGCCACTCGCTCGCCCGATTGTTTTCACGACCGCGAAAGTGGCGCGGCGTGTTCCGCGACTCGTTGCGCGTCGTGATTCGCGGTCAACCGCGGAGACACCTGGCGAAGGAGACCCGAACGACCCGGGCGACACATGCGTACGGGGCCGCAAGAACAATTTTGGACTAAACTCCGGCTACTAGAGCCACGGTGAAAGATTTTCACCGTGTTCCGGACGAATCCATCCCATTATAGTTTATAACCGCTTTGTTGTCGCGCGGTTATGATTTTAAAGAATTTATTGTGTGTATATATATATATATATATCTATTATTAATATTTATCGATAACAATTTAAAAGTTTTTCCCGTAGTTATAGTCTGAAATATATATAGCTCCCCTTATTTTTAATCTGTTAATTTCTCTTGCTCTAATTTATAAGAGTTAGTTCAGTTGGTATATCAGCTATAGGTTATAGGTTATTAATTATATTTTTAAAAGACGTGTCAGTTTATCAATGTTGAGAAAACAGCTAGAGCTAGAATTCAAATATCGTTTAATTGAAAAATATCGATTGATTGAAAAAACTATCGATTTTTTTCGATTAATCGAGAATCATCGTCCATTCCTTCCTCTTGTGGAGTCGTGATACGAGTGATACCACGTGGGTTTGCTGAAGCTGGAGTCAGCTCAGTCAGCTTGTATCACAATAATAAAAAGGATTCATGCGGCCGCGAAGATGAGCGACGCGGAAGTAGATCACAATTTATATGACAGCGATCAGGAAATCGCCAAACATCATTCGAAGCTTATCGAGGCCGTGACGCGGCTCGATAAGGGGCAAAGGTGAGAAATAATGACGAAGTTGTCATAAGAATGCTTGAGATTCCGATCTTACTTTTGTATATCGTTACAATTCTCATTGTATTTTTCCTCATTGATAGAGTGAAAAAGGCGGAACGAAGCGAGCCTAGTCTAGAGGTATCGGAGTACCATCTCGTAAAAAGCGGAGCAACAGATAAAGATGCGGTGTCCACGCAAGACCTGATCAAGTCGTTGGAGCGAAAAGGAGATCAGGGCAATATTATTAAGAAGCTTCGGTACATCCAGCAAAAGAACAAAGTTCTTCCTAAGCCATTGGAGAAACCAGCAGCTGAGAGGGTAATTTGCTTTGTGCAAGTTTAAGTTAATATCTTTTTAATTGAATTTTACCATTATTAATAATTTCAATTATCTTTATACTTTTTGTTGGGGCAAAAATCGATGTTTGATGCCTTTTTGTTAAGAAATTGATTAATTTTCTGACGTTTTTAGATTTAATTAATCTCTATAGTAATAATTTTTTGGTTTAATGCCACTGAATCTCAAGTAACTAGAAAAAGGAATTACAAATTAATCAATTAATATTGATCTTTTTCTGATATCCAAATATAAGAAATTGTTATTTTTTAATATTTATTTATCTTTTTAATATCACTATATAAAAATAATAAATCTAGGACTCTCGATAATGAAACCGATAAAGTGGAGTAACAATTTGGACAATTGAGAGTGTAATATGGTTATTGGTGTTTAAACTTATAAGTTATAATTTATTTAATAATTTACAAAGTCAATGACGGACCATATTGTACTCTCAATTGCCCAAATTGTAACCTCACTTTATTAGTTTTAATATTACCTATTTTTGTTCATTTTATTTATTTTTGGCTATTTATTTTTATTATAAGATCTGCTAACAAAATTATCTGGCGTCTCATGGAAAATAAAAGGAACTTTGTTAAATCTCTTATAGATAAAAAGGACAGTCGGTTATGACAAGGTTAAGGAAGACTTGAGAAAATGGGACAGTATAGTAGCTAGGAACAGGACAGCGGAACAACTGTCCTTTCCATTAAAACGTCTAACAGCAGTAAAGAATTCTCGAGCTTCAAAGATTCCTGCATTTCTGAGTGGTTTTAGTACAAAATCCGATTTGATGAAGAAGTTTGAAGAAGTAGATCCAACATTGCTGTATCCAGCTGAAAAGGAAGAGGAGAAGGGTAATAAATACAAAATGACACTGGAAGAGGTGATCTTGAGGAGGAAGGAAGCTGCCAGGCTCAGAGCTCAACAGGTACAGAAAAGTTATGCGGTTACTAAGAGATTATATCAATATAAATACAGAGGATAAGAAACAGATTTAATGGAAAATTATATTTAACTTTTTTGCACTTTCAGTCATACAAAGAGGCGAAGGCACATCGTCAGCGTAAAATAAAGAGCAAGAAGTTCCATCGGATCCAGCGGAAGGATAAGATTAAGCAGCAGTTAAAGGATTTCGAAAAGTTGAAGGATAGTAATCCACAGGAGGCCCTGGCGAAGTTGGAACAATTAGACAAAACTCGGGCTGAAGAGAGAATGTCGTTGAGACATAAAAACACGGGTCAATGGGCTAGGAATAAACAGATCAAAGCTAAATATAACAAGGAAGTGAGTATTTTGACTTAAAATCTGGATAAAAAACAAAACATCGATTTTTAATAGAAATTATTTTAATGAAAATGTATATCAAAATATCTTTCAAAATAACTAAATAAATATTACAAGCATTTGAATATTAAAAATATCTAAATGATTAAGAACAATTATATATAACAAACTTTTTTTTGTTAGACACGACAGGTTCTTGCTGAACAATTGGCCATTAATAGAGAATTGACGCAAAAAGTTAAAAGAACGGACAGTGATGAAGAAGATGAAGAAGATGAGGAAAATGAGGAATATGTAGAAAATGTGGAAGATAAAGAAGATGAAGAAGACGAAATACTATTAAAAAACAAAGAAGGTAACATAAAGACTGAACCTGAAATTGATAACTTCCTTAAGCGTTGTCGGGAATTCTATGATAAAAAACAACAGACGAAAAAAGAGGAAATAGAGAGAGATGGAATTTCGGAAGAGGAAAAAGGGACGTCATGTCATGATGAAAAGAATGATGAAAATTCACAAGCAAATAGAAGTGATATGAAAAGCAAGTTATGCAGTAATGAGAAAAGTAGTACTTTGCAAGCAAATGTAAGTGATACCAAAAGTAAATTACGTAAAAATAAGAGAAGCGGTAGTTTAGTTGCAAATATAAATGATCAAAGTAAAAAAAGTAAATCTTGCAGCAATGAAAAAAACAATACTTTGCAAGTAAATACAAGTGATACCAAAAGTAAATTACATGGTAATAAGAAAAGCGACATTTCACACGCAAATACAAGTAATATAAACAGCAAATCCTGCAGCAATGAAAAAAGCAGTAATTTATTAGCAAATACAAATGATGTAAAAGATAAAACTCGTAAAAGGAAAAAGAATAAAGAAAGTCCGATATCCGATTCTGTAGATGCTACGAGCAAACACAATAATAAAAAATTTAAATCACAAGACGTAAATGATTCCGAGGGATCAAAAAAGAAAAAGTCAAAGCTGAATCTAAAGAAGCAAGAAGTCAAGAAGAAATGCAAGGCAAACAAGAAAATGGAAAAGCAGAAGGAGGATGAAGAGGAGAATGAAGATTATTCGCCAAACCTCGAATTTGAAAACCCCAAACGGAAACCTATTTTGGATTCTCCATTAGAGGAAACGACTTCCAGGGAAAATGCACAGAAAAATAGCAATCTGACGAGTTTGAAGACAATAGCAAATAATACAACACAGGAACCAGCTGGCATTAGCCACGAAGCGGAGATAGACCCGAAAAAATACGTAAACATAAAGCCTAAATACTTAAAGACGCAGCTGCCAGATTTAACTACAGGCGGGGATGAAGATAGCGAACAGGAAGAGGAGACTCACAAAATAATGAGCGAGGCATTTGCGGACGATGACGTTGTCGAAGAATTTAGGAAGGAGCAGGAAGAGGAGGTACGTAATTAGAGTTTTAAATAAAAACTATACTTTTTATATGTATATAAAAACGTTTGCGCAATCTGTCACATTGCGTTTTTGAAAAAATGTGGTCTCAAAGTCTAGGACGGATCATGCATAACAGATTTCGAATAACATTGCGTTTCTATGAAGAATCGGCAAAAACTGTTGTAATAATCTATTATATGCAAAATAATTTTAGATGAAAAAGTCGCAGCCGCAAGATATTGATCTGAGTCTACCTGGATGGGGAAATTGGGGAGGACCGAACGTTAAGAAGAATAAACAGGCTCGTAAGAAAAGCCGATTTATTCTGACTGTTCCCAAGGTAGTGTCACGTAAGCCCGAAAACCAGGGGAAAGTCATAGTATTCGAGCACGAAAATGAAAAATTGAAGAAACACCTTGTCAAGGAGCTACCCTATCCGTTTACTAGGGTCAAGGACTTTGAAGCGAGCATCAGAGCTCCCATCAGCAGGACTTTCGTCCCGATGAACGCTCATTTGCGGCTCATTCAACCGACAGTGAAGACCAAGCTCGGACAAGTGATCGAGCCAATGGACGAGAATGAGTTGGTGAAGAAGCAACCAATGGTGAAAAAACCCCTAAAGCGTATTATTGCAAAAGCTGATAAGAAAAAAAATATTCTAAAAAGCAAAAACAAAAAGGGAGGTAAACAGAATGTACAAAGTGTATGATAAAATAAATTCTATTATTCTATAATCGCTATATATGTATAAAATTATTTTGAAATTATTAGTTAATGAACTAGCTGTTAATAATTCTATTTGTCTGTATCGCTGAAATTATTTTGAGAAAATTATAAGTAGGTATTTCCATTGAAAGTGTATTATTAATCAAGCTTATGCGGTAAATTTCAAGATTATGTTCACATGGATTGTTTACACATTGTTTACACGAACCTTTTTCATGTAAACAATATAAAAATGTATAGATTATAAATTGATTGATTAATTGATTACCTTCTTTAAACTATTTTTGCAAACAGTCCTACAAAAATAAAAAATAGTTTTTAATTAGATTAGATTGGCTACATTTCAGTTCTAATTTATTCATTAACTGTATAGTGACATGATGCTAATACAGAAACATTATTATTTATAGTTTATACTGACAATAAGCACTTTTATGCACAGAATAATGAGACGAATCAATTGGTATAAAAAAAGGCATATTTCCTTTAAGAAAAAATATGTAATTTGCAACACGCATCTGCATACTTTTTCTTAAAAGCAACTATGTCTTTTTTTCATACCAATAATTGATTCGTCTCATTATTCTGTGCATAAAAGTGTTAAGAACATTACCGAAAACTTAATGTTTTACAAGATATTTTGTATTTTATGTCAAAATACTAGAACTTTCAAGCCTTATAATTCCAAAAGTTCTTAATGAAAAAATACTTTATTATAGCGTTTTGAAAAGCTCTCGAGATTAGCTACAAGAATATGCATTGAAAAATAAAAATTTCCATTTAAGAAATTAAAGGTGTCGTTTACGTGAGCTTTAAACGACAATCCAAGGTGAAACCAATGGCACCATCCTATGTGCCATCTTCGAGCCAAACAACTTTTGTATAAAACATTTCTTCCGAAAACGTCAACTTTCCGAGATAATCCAGGGTCCCGACCTTTTTGTTACACCCGGTATATATGTGTGTAAATAAAAATAATCTTATCCGTTTCGATAAATCCTTTCAGCTTTCCTTCCTTCTACTCTATTCCTCTTGCAAATTCTCTGCTGCAGTCCAATACACTATAATCTTGCACAATGTTTTGATGTTTTATAACGAAGTTAACGAATCTTCATGAGCTCAGCTGCACTCACAATCAGCCGCGCTTTTGCTGTTTGCTTACGAGGGGATTAGAGAGGAGAAGAGAAAGGAACGACGGTGCTGCCTCTATCGCTGTCCCCCCGTACTCCCACTTCCGTCGCCCAAAAATCCAGCGAGTTTGTCCCCCCCCCTGGCCGACCCTTAAGAAGAAGAAAGAAGATCGTTAGCGCTGGTTAGTTGTGGTTAGTTGTGGTTAGTTGGGTTAGTGGTTAGCGTTCACGTATCACGCATCGATTCTTCCTGCTAAGTGTAGTAATCATGATTCTGCTCGAGATACACAATAGGATACTCGAAGAAACATTGACGAACAAAATCAAGAATGCCTTGTCGGGGTAAGTGTCTCGTGAGTCACACGGTCCTCTCGCCTTAGAGATCCCGGTGCCCGCGTAACCTAACCTCATTCCGAAAGACGTGGCGCTGGGGCGGGTGTCGCGCCTTCGTTTCTCCCCGAGAAATTCCCATTTCGAATAACATGTCGAATTTAAACTCTCTTCCCTTTTAATTCTGCTTTTCTCCACCTTCTTTTCAACTCTCTTCGCTGTTTCTTCCCATTTTACCTCGTTTTACTTCGAGATCTCGCCCCTCCTTTCCCCTCAGGATTTCGTTTCAAGCAGTATACAGTAAGACGTAAGCAGTAAGCTATTGACCAAGCACAGTCGATTATTCTTGAATTGTAAAAATCCCATTAGTCAATAAGTTACTGCTTATGTCTTACTGTATACTCCTGCTGCCATTGTAGACGACGCTATACAAAACGGTTTACTTCTTTAAAAGTAGATTTTTTTTTCTCATCATCTCTTTCACCATGTTTCTTTTTTTCACATTATTTTTTTATTTCTTATTTTAAGATCTTGGGAATTTTATTCCCATAGGTTTCATATCCTGGCTCATGCAGATCAGGGACCATATTCTTAAGCCTGCCTTAATGATTTTCATATGCGACTTTCTATTTGAAAAGCATGAAGAATTATCTCTATTCTTCATGTTGAAAAGCATTGAATTTCGCATGCGAGTTTCTTGAAAACGATTCGAGAATAGGACCCCTGTTAGTTGTAAAATCTTGTCAAATTAATAGTCTTGTGATTATTTTCTATCAGAAATATATGTTTTATTTGTAGACATAAGCAGGAGTCGACTGATGTGGTCATAGCAGACTTTGATGGAGTATTGTTTCATATTTCAAACCTCAGTGGAGATAAATCGAAACTTAGAGTAAGTCGACATACTTACTTGTAAATATCTTTCGTGGTCCTTTTGAAATAACTCACTAATTTTCTAATACTCATCTTTTTTGCAGATTAGTATCTTGCTTAAATTTTATAAACAGTTACAAGAGCATGGCGCAGACGAGTTGCTCAAACGAGAGTACGGGTCTCATCTTATCGCACCGGAGAGCGGTTAGTTTTGTTTTAATCATCTTGCAGCTTAGTAATTAATTACTTTAAATCGTTTTCCATTGTTACAGGTTACAATGTATCTGTTCTCATAGATTTGGAAAAATTACCAGAGGATTGGGAGGCATTAGTGAGGAAAGTTGCCCTGTTGAAGAGGCATTGCTTCGCCAGTGTCTTCGAAAAATACTTTGACTTCCAGGAGGAATACTGCGATTCTCCGGGCAGGCCAGTACAGAAGAGAGCTGTAATCCAATATCGAGACGAGGAAACGATGTAAGAAATATATCTATGCACGTGACGGCTCAGTTGTTACTTTTATTATTATTAATCTCCGTTAATTCTCACCAAGGTATGTGGAAGCTAAGAGCGACAGAGTCACAGTAGTATTCAGTACAATATTCAAGGATGAAGACGATATGGTCATCGGCAAACTGTTTCTTCAAGAACTGAAAGAGGGTAGGCGCGCGAGCCATACCGCCCCACAAGTCTTGTTCAACCACCGTGAGCCGCCGTTAGAGTTGCAGGATTCCGAGGCGGCGGTCGGAGATTGCATTGGTTACATCACATTCGGTAACGAAAATTTGACGTTTATTCTTTGCATTTGTTAAGTCGCGTCAATACGACGTCAAAACTTTCTAATTATGTATATCTTACAAAGAAAATTAAAAAAAACTGATATATAAAATTTTTTGTTAGAAATTTAAATTTCAAGTTTTAAGGATTTAATAATTATAATAATATAAGATTTATGTGTCATTTTATTAGTAAATTCTTAAATTTTAAAGATTTGTTGTAAAGACTATCTGGAAGAAATGTAATCGTTATTACTGCTGCGTATTTGTGTAACTTTCTGCTATTCATATATTTCAAGCTGAACATACAAACTCATATAATTCTACTTTAAAGCTCATATCATTTTATTATATATTTTTACAGTACTGTTTCCACGTCATACCAACCGAGAGGCTCGCGACAACACCATTGACCTGATACACATGTTTAGAAATTATCTGCATTATCATATTAAGTGCAGTAAAGTTTACATTCACTCGAGAATGCGTACCAAGACGACAGACTTTCTCAAGGTGTTGAACAGAGCGAGATCTCAATCCAAAAACACCGAAAAGAAGACTATCACGTAAGTTTTTACTCGCAAAACATTATAGACTAAACTGCAACAGAAATAATAAGTTGATCTTGATTGATTTAAATATATGTAAATTTAAATAATAATTTAAAATGTTTTATCGTAATTGTACAATTAATTTATAGTTAACGCCTCGTATTATTTTCTTTTTAGATCTTTTAAATTTATTTCCAAGTTCTTGCAAAATTTAAAATTAAATAATATTCTTCTAAAGTATATTTTTATTACTTACAATATCCTTCTTCGTCAAATTTATCACATTATCTACTTGTAATTCTTTTTAGGGGACGAACATTCATCAGGAAAGAATAAACGTGTCGTAACAGTGAAATTATTAACCGCACTAGCCGCTAATAATAATCTGAAAGTAAATTCTTTTATTAAATTAATTATTATATATCTATAAATCAATAAATAAATAAAGTAAAATAAAACGATTCAAGAATAAACAGAAAAAAGATCACTTTTACATACAATAAAAAATAATATTTACCGCAAAGTTGTTTCATCATGCCCGATGCACAGTATAATCATACCCGATCGAGAAAGTCTTATATGTGTCTTATGTGTCAAAATTCCAAAAATATGCATATTAAATAAGAGATTCTCTAATGTGACGTGTCGTGCGTGTGGAAGTACTTAGGAGACTAAATACACAGCACCGAAATATTTCAGAAAGCTTTCAAAAAACTGTCAATGAAATATGAAATCTTTCAAAAAAACATTTCAGACATGTTTCAGATATGTTTCAGAAAGCTAAAATGTCCGCCAAGCTGAGATTTCAGAAATGTTTCTGAAATCTCAAAAATATTTCTGAAATAGTTCTGAAATGCTTCAGAAATATTTCTGAAATGCTTAAGAAATATCTCTTAAATGCTTAAGAAATACCTTTGAAATGCCTAAGAAATATCTCTGAAATGCTTCGAAAATATCTCTGAAATGTTTCAGAAATATATGGGAAATATCTCAGATACTTTTTCTCATATTAAATTGTTTCGGATCACCCTGTATAGGGTCATCCGGAACAATTTTCTGTCCTTCATAAAGCCCGGTGTCCACGATGCAAGAACTGTGTCCAAGTTTCGGTTTCAGCCAATGAAACTGCTACTTTTCTGTAAGAGCTGCAAGTTGATTGGCTTAAATCGAAACTTGGACACAGTTCTTGCATCGTGGACACCGGGCTTTAAACATATTCTTAATCATAGTCATGATTTTGCTTCGCCGGAGGCCTGCTTATATTAGATTCCAACTGAAATTTACTTGCGAGTTAGTCTTACCATTATGCGTTGCCTAGCGGCGTCGTTGCATATTTCTCTGAAATGTTTCGTAATATTTCAGAAATATTCAGTGAAAAGGGTCATAAATGATTTCGATGAAACGTTTTAGAAATACTTCTGAATGATTTTAATGTTACATTTCAATATTAATTTCCAAGTTATCTTTTGGAAAGCTTTCAATGACATATTATTTTGATAAAACGTTTCAGAAATATTTCTGAATGATTTCAATTTTACATTTCAATATTAATTTTCAAGTTATCTTTCGGAAAGCTTTCTGAAACAAGTTTTGCTGTGTGGGTTACGTTGACAAGCAGGGTCCACATTATCGAGCAGAACCGCGAGCCGAACTTCGCCGCGAACCGATCATGCGTCCACATTATCGAGCCGATCATGCGTCCACATTGTCGAGCCGACGGGCTCACGCGAGGCTCGCGAACCTCGAATCGAACATCAGTGCGAACCATCGCGTACTCACCCCACGAATCTGCAAGCATTTTGATATTCGACTCGCAGTGTCCCACCAAAAGTCGGTATTTCGACGAAACATCAAAAGATGCTTTTTATGATCAGATTATACGCTTTGTCGGGTGGTAGACTGGTAGTTAAGCTTCGTGCTAGACAAATAATGACAAAAGACAAAAAATGAACGATGAAAAAAAACGTGAGTAATTGCCCAGTCGCTGTATTTGATTCTATCCACGTATGTGCAGTCTAGACGACTACTGATAGACAAAATGGAATGGTCTGATAAAAAATGTTTAAAATTAATTAGTGATTATGAGCAGAAAAGATTATTATATACAAGATGCTAAAAATCCCTAACATTATAACAATTTAAAAAATGCATATTTATATTTACAATCGTATTTTTAACGTTGCAATATATATTATAAATTTATTGCGTATTTATCATAGATTTAGAGTATGTTTATGCAATATTAATTAAATATGGTTGGTAACACTCTAAATATTGTTTTATGGTTTGAAAAGGAATTAAGCTTTGAATACAAGAAAATAATGAAAGCACGCATATGTATACACATATTTAGTCGTCTTTTTCTGTTCTCATACTTTTTTTTATAAGAAGAAATAAGTAAAGAATTCGAATGTGATAGTGACATGTGTAAAAAAAAAAGATGACATTATTGGCATCTCTGCAAAGAGAAAAAGCAAAAAAAAAAGTATGGAAACAGGAAAAGGTGAGTGAATATGTGAATATATGCTTTTATTATTATGTTCCTGTATTTGAATACAGGGAAAAGAATTAAGTTTTGAAACTTAATTCCTTTTCAAACCATAAAACAAAATTTAGAATTAATATTGCGTAAACATACTCTAAACCTGTGATAAATACGCAATAAATTTATAATATATATATTGCAATGTTAAAAAATACGATTGTAAATATAAATATGCATTTTGCATACATGAGAAGATAATAAAACCATTATCAATCCACAAACGTATACCTGTATTGATCTGTAATCCCGTACCTGTAATATTGATCTCTAATCAGTAAGCGGCGTAAAATAGGGAGTGTCGGAACACGTTAAATTAAGCTTTTTCAACCACACCCAGGCCTCCGATACAGCTGTATATTTTTCCTGCAGTCAGAAGTATCCTGCCGAGGATTAAATGTGCGTCAATAAGGCCAACGAAACGATTATATACTCAAAGTTCTCTATATTTTTTTCGGGGATAGGATTCGACATTTCGAACAGGAGGATATATATCGGATCCGAAATATCTGAAGTCTCGTTTGGATACCTTCGGAAGTCAAATTTAAATCACACAGTGTGATGGAGGAGACGACGCTGCCGACGTTCTCTTCCAGCTCGTCGAACGAAGTCTCCACGAATGGCGATGTGGAGGACGTGGTGCAGCAGTGGCTAGAGAACGAGGCGTTACCGGGCTTTCGCATCTGGCAGCTCGCCGGCATTGTTCTCTCCGTACTGCTGAGCATTGTTGTCGGGTTGTGCTGTTGCATTCGTTTTCGCGTGCCCAGAACGAAGCAGGAAATCGAGGCGGATTACATACGTAAAAGGATCACCAAGAGTTTCCGGAACGAGCTCTCGAAGATCAGCAACACGGAGATGGACGACATGGATCTGCAGAAAGGTAACGACGCAACTACCGCTTCGGAGATTGATAGCTACGAAGACTCGGTATGATTTATATAGTTAATCAAGGGAAAAAGAAGGAAGGCATGTAAACAGAATAAATATCCTAAAATTCGTTAAATAATAAAACGGAACGAAAAAGGCATAAAAATTGTCATTTCTATGGAAACAAAATTTCTGATTATATTAAATTTGGTCCATGTTCTATAAAGATTCCTATGTAGATAAGGAGGAATTTAAGGTATTTTATTGATGAAGCTTATTTTTGCACTGAAAGATAATGTCTCTCTGTATAATGCTCTGCAACTTATCTCGTATATGCCATCCTTTCTTTTTCATCTTGATGTAACTTCTGAGAACACGTTATAAAATACTAAACTCGCTCTTCGCACCGTAGCTCTGGACAGAATCCGAAACGAGTACGAGGAGGACGCGCCCGCGATAGCGAAGGAGTGCGCGGAAATGGCACAGCGGAAGGGTTTTCGATCCAGATTTAACGCTGTGTTCGGTGGGATGCGTGTGCGTTTCAACCAACGCGAGCACGCGGAATCGAATGTCATGATCTAACGACGGCGGTCCTTTCGACCTCTGATGTCCTGTGTGAGGAGATTGAAATACATTCCTCTCGAGAGTATATGCTCCCATAATTGTCGCATGTTATAACTTTAGGGATGTCGAAGGAAATGGAGCAAGAGAAGATGTATATTGAAAGTAAGATAATATAAGTAAAACATGTCTCCCTCTTCTTTTTCTTAGATAATTACCTCGGCACAAAAAAAATTTAAACAGTCGAAAGTTAATGACTGAAGAAATAAATATCAATTTAGGTGGGGAATAATGACGAGCAATAAATTGTGTGTGACACTTTTATTGACTAAATATAATCTTTATTTCATAGATATATTTTACACAAAAATTTATTTACTTTAGCATGCAACAGTGATCTATTAGCAACGAATAGTAATGCTTCTGAAAGTAACACTCCATGGCTGCAGTCCGATTCACGCTCACAGCGCTGAAAGCATCGCTCTATCTTCGTTTTTCGATGTGCAACGAAGACAGAATGATGGTTACAACGCTGCGCTGTGAGCGTGAATCGGACCGCAGCCCACGATGTGTTACAGCGTGTTTTTTTTTTTCTCTTTTTATCCTGTCGACATCGCTATCGATTAAATTCTTTATATTGATTGATTATTTGTACTCTCTCGTTAACCGCGCTTATCTTATTATCGCACATCGATTGATCTTACTCATCTATTTAATAGAAGTCGTTCAATCTAATGTTTATTGAGACAATATGGAGATGAAAACCGTTATTAACGTAAAATAAATTGTAGAAAATAACAGAGTCAAATGTTCGTAAAAAATTGCAAAATAACGTTTTAAGAAAACAAAATATTATCCTGATTTTGCGACTATATATTTGCAATATTCTCCTTTCTATAAGTCGGCGAACGTGCGACGTGAATCGAAAAATAATCTCAAATGATTTTAAGGGTAAAAGCGAGGGGAAAAAAGAAAACTCGATAAAATAAAAAAAACAACGAAAGATGCGTGTTTACGAAAATGATTTATTAAAATCGGAAAGCATACAGGAGACGAAATTGTTGCTCTACAAACGATAATTTTGAGCCTATCGTTGCAGCAACAGTAACGTATCATTCTGTTGTATGATTCCGTAAAAAAAAGGGAAAAGAAAAAGACAAGGAACCAAGATCGTCGATTAAGAGACCAAGAGTCCATCGGGTTTGCTAATCGATCTAGCGTAAAAAATAATAATCGGACCGACTCGGGTGCGAGAATCGCCGAGAGCTACGAGCGAAACAAATGTCTCATACACGACTCGTCGTCTCTTTTCGTTTAGAAAAATGATTACTACGCTGACTAACGTAAAACGGAAAAAAAAACGTAAACATAAAAATAAGGTGATAAAAACATAAACGTTAATTGTTGTTCCACCGCGACGTTCGTCGCCTGGCAATTTATACTAGATCTTTCGCATTGCGATGCACGGGTCTCTCTATTTCGGTTGACAGACATACCGACACAACCGCTTGCACAACCGTTCCTGATCGCGAACCGGGGACGATCGACGATGAGATCAATTTTCATCGCCCTTCACTCGCGTGATACTCACGCGACGTTGATGCTGGCGCGTACAGTGTAGCAAAATAGACGACAAATATCTTTTTTTTTTTGTTTTTTTTTTACTTCCAGCGTGGCTCGATCGACTTCTCTCAACAGAGAATTCAAAGATCAGTCGTCGAAACATCCAACTATTACTTCTTCTCTCCAATATATTTTAAATCTTACGTAACGTAAAACTTTCTCGACATAATCTTCCTTTTTATTTGTTTTTATGGATATATTCTCGGCTATATATCTCGACAATTGATTGTGCCCGCAACGGCGCTCGCCTATAATTAAGAAAGTTCGCCGAAAGAAACCAATTAATCGAGGGGATATATTATGTCCGATCGTTAGACGCTTAGATTTTATATAATGTCTCTTTTAAATCCTTACATTCTAGAATCTTCGAGAATGCTCGATTTTATGCTTGCATCCTCGCGAAATAGCCTGGCTCTTTACGTTCTAACAACGTTGAAGTATATCTTTAAATTTTAAGAATCTTTGAATCCTTACGTTCTACGATCTTTGCGTGCTTAGATTCTAAGGTCTTTGGATCGTTAGGTGTTAGATTCTAGGAACTGTGGATCCTTAGGTTCTACGATCTTTAGATTCTTGGTTACAGAGAATTTTTGTGTCTAACTTAAATACTCTAGGATCTTAGAATACTTCTATATTTTCGACGAGAAGAAAAAAAAGAACGAGCGCAGATGCAAAAAAAAAAACAAAAACTTGTATCGTTAAGCACGATTGCTCGGTCTGAAATGGCACAAAATTTGGGTTCTGAAATGTTCGATATCTGTTTAGATATCTCCTAGAGCAAAGACTATGGGGGGACTGAATACGACGTTTTTCCCCCGAGCGGATTTTGGAAAAAATACAAATCAAAAGCGCATCATACGACGGAGGAACTTTGATCGACTAGAGGATCCGGCGCCGTGTGCATATGTAATAAACACCGTACATTTTTCTTCGGCGAGTTGAAAGAATTAGGAGATTGTTGTTGTTACAAAAGTTACAGTGTTTTCCCGTAGAAAGTCAGTTTGGTTCCTTAGGTCTTAAATTCCACTCAATTTTAGAAACCGTTAGGTCTTGAGTCTTGAACAGTCGCATCTTCACGTTATATCAAAATTGTTAGATATTTGAAAACATTTTGTGGAACCAAACCTCGTTACCACGCACGGAAACTTGTCAGAGAACTATCGTGAAAATGTTACGCACTTTAATGCGGTCACATTAACGAAGTATGCATCTTTGCGACAATGGAAATTTCGTAACTGCGAAAGTTACAACTAGTAACAGCTTACGCATTCCAATACGTTAACTGCTAATATAGGTAGACTTGCGAGATAATGATGCTTTAAGGATTTCTCTAATTGATGAAGACTGGCCAGAAGTGAGATACATAGAAATAGAAAGAGAGAGAAATATATATGTATATAAGCCAAGAGAGACAGAGATGAGAGGGAGGAAGGAAAGAGAGCTCGCTACGAGGTAAGAGAGGTGTGTCTCCTCATAAAACAAGTCGGGGTGGCGTCGCGACGCACAACGTCGACGGCGACGACGGTGGGCGCCTACGCGTGTCTTCACGAGATCTTGTTCCGCCACCACGAGAACTTCATCTTCGGGCTGAGATACTGAAAACTGATGACCGAGTGCGGGATCAGAGCGAGTATCGGTAGAAAGCTACCGCAGCTGCGGCTCTTCGGCTCCTCGTCGCTCTCTACCGCCGTCGTCGACGTCGACGTCGTCTTGGTGGTGACGGTGGTGGTCGTCGTTGTGGTGGTCGCTGTCGGCGTCGAGTATGGATACGGCGTCGACATGGGATTGCATGTGATGTGGATGTCTTCGAGACCCCACTTGTTCTCGCATCTCGCGACCGCGTCGACATCTCTGTCCGCGAAATTCTTCCTCTTTTGCTTCTTTTCCGCGGCGACGCTCATGTATCGCACAACGCCGTTCCTCTCGATGGCGCCGTTACCACTGGCGCCGACGTCAACTTCGCACTTAAGAAACAGGCTTTTGAGAGATGTCTTACGGTATACCTTGGATCGCGGGATCTTCATCGTCAGTTGCGGCAACGACGCTGAGCGAACCGTGATGTCTGCGCCATTCACACTTTTCAGGGTCGTGCTGAAAACGTCACAACCCTGGAAAGCGGGTGAGTGCGGGAGGGTGAAGTGCTCTCTGTCTTCGCTCCTCGGGATCGTCATCGCGCCGTCGCGGTGACAATCACGGAGAGGAAGACAGAGAGGAATGGGGGTGGTGTGCGCTTCATTGGTCCCGGGTTGAGAGACGAATGAAGCGTCCTTGAACCCTCAGCTCGGGAAGCGCGAAAAGAAAGCGCAAGTCAAATCGTAGTTGAGGAAACGACAGTACTGCACGTCGGTGCGCAGCCAGTCGCCAGAACGGTTCAGATAATCGGTCCGCTTCTCGAGTTCGCGCGGACAATTAGCCGCCGCAGACTGCTTGTTGGCGAAAATCGTCACGACAAACTTGCCCGGCTTAAAGGTGTTCAGCACGCGACGAATTATCTCGTCGTATGACGTTTCTGAGACGTTACACTCGAACGACACGTACGAGAACTCGGGCTCCGGTGTGATGTGGATCGTCATGTAGCTGCCCTGAAAAAAAGGAAAAAGATAGTATCGTAGTGTATCGTAGACAATTAAGACTCCTCCTGTTACTATGGTTATATCGGATTACAACGTTAGGAACGAAGAGTAATATTGTTGCAAGTAGGGACCAGGAGATATTTTTATATGTAAAGAATATTTTAGATATAATTAACAATAAGACTCTCCTGGTCCTTACTTGCAACAATATCACTTTACAAGAAATAAAATATTTTAAAATATTATCTCAAATAAAAAAATGTTTATATTATAATTTATATATTTTATTATTTCTAATATTATTATTTCTATATATATATATATTATAAATTAAATTATAAATTTTAAAATATATATATACAAAGTAATATGTATGTATATAATATATGTATATATTAATTTACAAGTGATATATTACATGTTACATATTACATTATAAATTTTTGTTTCTTCCAATCTTATGGCTAAATATTTGTTTAAAATTATCATCTCAATGTTCGCAACTCACATTTTTAGATATCCCATTCATAGAGTATCCGCATGGCTCGAACAGAAAGTCATCTATAATCATAGTAGGAATGAGCTTGTCGATTCCCGATTTGACCGTCGCCTCGTCGGCGGACGAGCAGACGTCCCTGGTAAAGATTGACATCACGTCTGGATCTAACTGCGTCATGAGTATCTCAAGGGTCTGATCCGGCTCCGGTGGGTCCTGCAATGGCTTATCACGGCTCAGAGTGTAGAGATACCAGCAATCTGTCTCGGGTGAGCCCATGCAGTAAGCTTCGCCATCTGAAATAAGAGATAGGGCTACAGTGACAAGGCTTCCGAATCCTTAATTTGAAAACATACAAAAGATAACCGATTTGAGTTGGACTAATTAAATCACTCTATCCTAGCTCAATTCCAATTTACTTTCTTTCTGTCTTTTCTTTCTCTTCCTGTATAACAAAAATAAACATTTGTATCTGATAATTACCAGGGAAGAGGGAATCCAACAGAGTGACTTCCTCCTCAAACGTCTGGTGTGGCGATATCTGGAGCTCCGGTTTCTTGTAATTCTTTCGGGAGTAAAAGACGTTCTGAAAGCATGACATAAAACTAAGAACCATGTACATTTACTCATTTACTCATTTTATATATTCTAAATACTTTATTGTTAACGACATGATAATAATAACGACAATAATAATAAAATAGCAGTCACAATAATTAAAAAATAATAATTACAAGCATAACAGATAAACAGTGCACGAATTCGAGATTGTTTATTTGTAACTCTTGTGTTATTACAGGTAACCCTCGTGATTCCGTGTTATTGAAAACCGTGCAATTCAAAACCAGATCCATATAAAATTGGTCATTTGGTTCCAAGGGGTTATTTAAACAAAAACTAAAAAAAAACAACATAACCTCCACCCCGGTATTTACGTATGTATTTCTTTTGTTGTGTGACTGTTATTCTAACTTCGTGCAACTCCAGTACCGTGTTATTCAAGGGTTGTCACAATTTTTTACCGTGCAATTCAAGTACCACGTTATTGGAAAGGTTACTTGTATTTTCATCATAATATAATTGCAATACTATCATAGTTATCATTATTAACGTCATTATCATTCCGAAGAATAAATATATAAAATATCTACAATTATATGCTCTCTTTCAGCGATAACTAGACAATAATTAGGACACACGATATTCTTCGATACCTCTCGAAAAACAAGAGGGAGCCTGTAAAAAAATTATAGCGGAATATATCTCGACGGGTGGTGGGCCGATCTAAATCCGCGATTCAAATCTCGCGCCCTCCGCCGCGATTCGGAGGTGGGGTGGGGAATCGGACTGAAGTAAGTCGCATGTTCGAAATTCAACGATTCTGATGTTCCCGATTTACACGGAGCCACGTCGCGGGACCGCACAATAGGTATAAAAATGATTGCCTGTTTGCAAATCAACGAACGAAGGGCGGAAAAAAAGAAAGGAAAATGTAAACGGAGGTCTTCTTATCCGATACTGAGGAGAAAGAAGCTGAGCGGTTAAACGCTGGCGAGCGAAAATGCGTTTCGGACAGCGTGGGAGAGGCAGGTATGTCGCGTCGAGATAGGTGAGATCAATAAACCAGGAGGCGGCAGAGAGACGCGTTTCGCGCGTGGCGGAGGGACACATATAGAGCCGTGTTTCTTTTCCGCGCGCACTAGGTCAAGTTATATAGCTAAGAACTCCTGAGACCGAAGAACGACGTGGCGCGTTCGGAGGAAAGGAGCTGGTCTCCTGCCGCGGTCGCTTGCGTTGAATTTGCCAACACGCCCGATATAAGACGGACGTAACACTTCTTAGAGGAAATATTAACGAAATCTTTTAATATTCTAACGTTGATATTTTATGTACGAAATCTTTACTTCAAAAAATATTTAAAAAATTGTTTTACATAAGAAATTTTTCACGTATAAACTCTATCATTTATTTTTTACGTAAATAAATATCTATATAATATATTATATTAAATATTTATAAGTATATTATCTAATGATCTTACAAATCTGTTGTTTCTAAAAATCCTGCCTGGGCACGATATAAGATACAATTTTTTTACACCAACTATAACGTAATATTTCCCTAGCTTGCGCAAATATACGCATCTCTATTCTTTTTAAATTTTCAGATGATATTTTCGAAAAAGATATCTGGTCAACTGTATTATAAAAGAGGAAGAGTAAGAACTTTTATAATTATTTAATAATAATTTTCGTCCATGTGCCACGTTAAATATATGTTCACGAAAAATGTGTCACAAATTCGATCCTTTACATGCCCACGCTAACGGTCGTTTGTAATATCCTTACGATAACGATTTACCTCGACATCGTCGAAGCCAGTGTACTCCTCAACGAGCTCCAGAAGCGGCTCCAAACACTGCAGAGGTGTGGTGGTACCGCAAGTCTTTAGTATGAGTCTGCGTTTGGACACAAACAGGCTGCTCTCGCTGCGGACATGATAAATCACATGATTAGCTGTTTCGCTGACGACGATTTTTATTAATTTTTAGCGCATTTCCTGAGACATCATAATATCTGCGTGACATTTCGTAATATAAATGTTTAATATAAATGGCACGCTTATTCGAGACGTTCGGATGTAAAAATCATTAAGCGACAACTCTGTAAAATGTTACTTCTTTGCGATGAAATAGCGATCTGGAATTAAGAAGTTCTCAATCGATGATCTTATTTAACTTATTTAACTCAATGAAAAAGTGAAAAACATATTTAAATTAAATTAAATCTAATCAAGTAATGATTTAACTGGAAGACGGCCTGATGACAGACCGAAACGTTTTTTAAAAAAATTAATTTAATTAAACATTTACGACACGAACACCCTGTTGTGACTGTCCTCTTCTTTTTATTTAATGATTTAACTATATATTTATTTCGTTAAAAACAATTTGTCTAAATCTCGCTCCCGATGAAAGTGAGTTTAACGGTTTGCAAACTGATGTTCTTCACGAAGGGCTTACAGTTGCGATATATCAGAGATCTCATAGTAGCTAAACGGAGATAATATAGCGCGCGTGTTTAAGATTAAACGAGAGTGACGCACATTTATTCGCTTTTTCTTTTCTTTCTACTTTAATTGATTTGCTCTGCTAATTATGCTGGTAGATAATTATGACGTTATTTGAGAGCACTATATTAGCGAAGGTCAGCGAAGAATGAAGGTTATATTAAAAGATATTTGCTTGGCTTCTGCTGATGTTGCTATTTCTGAACTGTGCTTCACTATTAGGCAGAAAGCGACGTTACGCGAAGACAATTCGCGCAATTTACAAATATCTGCGTGCTCCTCAGCAGGAACTGCACGTGGACCTCCATCGTTACATCAACATTCGTCATGCCCGACACATCGTCGCCCGACAGTTCATTCATTAGCAATAATTGTGCTCTTTCTTGATTACACTAACGACTTTTTAAACGAGAAAAAAAAGATAATTCATTTTTACCATGATAACATTCACAGAATTGACCGTACGTTCCTCATTCTTGTTAACGACTCGAAAGATAAAGGAAATATGCAATTTACTTCGTACATTAATATATTAATATAATTAGTGTGAGAATTTAAAACTTTCCATTTTATATTTTCCACATATCACAAACATTTTATTTACTTATTTTACTTATTTATTACATATATATTAATAATTTTACTAACAAAATCGATCTTATTTACTTAGATCAAAATGTTTCCGCCTCGATGCTCTATATATTTTTCTTTTTTAATTTAAAAAGTTTGTCGCGATTATTTTAAATTAAATGTAACTCCAACGCAAGCTCCGTTTATTTAATTAGTAACATTTACATCTTTATTTCTTTCACGCCCGCTGTGACGAATGACCGAGTGAAAGCCGGAAAGCTTTTTGCAAAAATTTAATTTAAAAATAGATCGTCAAAGGTTATCAACGATAGACGTTGACCCTAAGATTCTCCGCGAAGACAACGAGAGCGATATTGGAAGCGTAAGCTTCTTACGAGTGTTCTAAATAAAAACGTATGATAAACGTACATTTAAAGTCGATAACAGAATATTGAGCATTATCTTGTAATATTATGCGGGCGTGAAAAAAATTCCACTGATTCTTTTGGTACAAAAAAGATCTGCGAAAGCCACATAATTGGATTTAAAAAGTATACGAATGACGGAACGTATACGTCGCTTTAAATTCAAGAAGCTAATATGTTACTTATTTATTAACAGAAACAACCTGTCAGCAAAACTTATAAAAAGAAACTGCGAGATTAGAAGAAAAAACGTTAGCAGTATAGAAAAAATAGTAACGGTAATTATGATAATAATATAACAAAAATAATAGCAATAAAAGTAAAATAACAATGGAAATAATAATCAATAAATTTGACGAAACCAATAATCATGATTTATTACAAAGATCGAACTATAGATTTTAGAGAGTCTATGATTAAATTCATGAAAATGCAGAAATCGAGATGTCTTTATTTTAATAACAAGCTAAATTATATATTTTAGGTCCAGTTCCACAAACGTCGGTTAACTTTTAACCTTAGGTTAACACACTTTTTATCTCTTTCTATCGCCCCCTTTATAGAAAAAGACTTTATAGAAGAGTGAGTTAACCTAAGGTTAAAAGTTAACCGACATTTGTGAAACTGGGCCTTAATGAAAGGATTAATTTATTTCGGACATTTCTTAAGGCAGCAAAAAAAACTTGAAACACCGCGGAGAAATCTGACAAGATTTAAATATATCTGAGAACATATACACACATTTATGAAAATTGTTTCAGAAATATGAGAAATTCAGTTATAATTTCGTTGGTCATACATAACTTTTTAAGGAAAAAAAGATGTGTATGTATGTATGTGTACCCCTATGTGTCAATGTGAATCACTTATTTGGCGAAAGTGGAAAGTCATAGCCAAGACGCGACATTTTCACTTTTAAGTACTATCATAGTACTTAGGTATTTGATATAGAAAATAAATATTCGCAATTCTCTTGAGTTCACATTCGAGTCCACTCAAATACTTATATATTTACTCCCTTTCAAAATTTTAATACATGCGCACTTATTTATAAAAATTCGTAATTTATTGCATATCCCCGCAGGGTTCACAATCTACTACCAATACTATCCTTCTCCTCTCACTTTAACCCTTTGGACCCACGGCTTAACGTCTCTTTCCGAAAGACGGAGCCCAGTTTTCTCCGCACAAGAGCCTATCTTGCACGGAGGGGCGCAGCTATCGGAAAAACATTCCATGCTTCATGGTTCTAGTGGACTCGAACCTGATTCCTCAGATTACGAGTCTGGCGCTCTACCACTAGACCACACTGCCGCCCTCGCACTTATTTATATTTAATATAGATGGATAAATTTGTAAACTTTAATATCATAATTGTAGATCAAATCTGAAACAGCCTGTTTTATACCTTTCTTATTCACACAACTTTATTTATTTATATAATGTATATAATTTTGTTAACAACGATATCTTCCAGCTAATGACGAGAGATCGGTTGCTTGCGAAATCCAAAGCATCCGCCGGACGTTCGTGGAATTCCTTTGAAGATAAATTTGTTATTGTTATCATTTTATTTATCAGAATAAAAAGTTTCCGTCTTGAATACGCGATCGTAAATTCGTTAGTTAAATATATTTATGCAAATCGTGGATGTCACGCGTTTGTTATTTGTCCAGTGACGTTTTGAGTAAAACACTTCGATTTAAAAAATCAAATAATTTTCCTCTAAATGTAAGAAATTTTATGAGAGCTAACGACTTTATTTAATAAATATTATTTCGATGATTTTTGCACAATTTCATTCTCAATGTTTCGCAAATTTAATTTTTTTCAATTTAATAGATATCAAATTAAATAAATAAATAATTTTATCAAGTAAGTAACTAATATTAAATGACAAATTTAGTTTTACAGAGGAATTCTACGAACGTCTGACGGATGTTTTGGATTTCACGAGAAAACCGATCTCTCGTCATTAGTTGAAAGGTATCGATCGAGTTCGTAGAGTCGCAAAAGGAAAAGAAAGCAAGTCCAAAGCGCCTTAACGCAACAAATTCCTCTCCTTAGCAGGGAAAATTCAAATTAGCAGCGATTTCCTAGCGGGATAGTAGACACAATCCGAATGTATAAAGGAGATCAATTTGCAGATAACTATCCCCCTTGTCAAAAATTCTTTGAGAACCTTGAAGAGGGTCATCAGTCATCATCTATATCTTTCGAGTCCATAATAAGGTTCGTTTTACTAATATCTTTTGCGCTTTGTCCTTTTTGCTTTTCTTTCCCTCTAATTTACTTTTCTTTCCCATGAATTTATTATTTTTATCTCATTTTCTTCCATTTTGTTACATCATATTATTCATTTCCATTATATTTTTTATATGTCACATTTTTGTTTTTAGGGGAGTATTCCTTTCCGAGACAATAAATCACCGTTATTGTTACCGCCATCGCTACTACTAATTAGTAGCGAAAATACTAGAAGATTCGCTCACGATTGCTATCGACTGGAAGAGGGCGACTCGCGCACGGTGGGCTAAAACGCGCGAAAGTGTCACCTTGACCATATTTATTTATAGGGGCGGATCAGCGGCGGCACTGGGTCGACTCTCGCGCACCCTCAAATATTCTAGAACCAGGGCACGTCGCATCTCATCCCATCCCATCCCATCCCACCCCGTTCCATCCCGCCCGCGTCGTGGCCGGCCGGGCCGAGCCGGGCCGGGCCGGACGGGACGGTGCACCTCTTCTCCATCAAAACAATTCGATATATCGATTATACCACACCGGCGGTACACGGGCGGCTGAGTGCCTCTCTCTCTCTCTCTCTCTCTCTCTTTCTCTCTCTCCTCGGAACGCCCCGCGGAGCACCAACCCGCTCTCGGTTTTCTACGCGCGTCACGAAAAATTGCGCCGTTGCTCACATCCCGAACACCCGCGCTCACTTCTCGTCCATACGCGGTCCAACAATTAGCCCCGCGTTCGTCTGATGAGGATTATGTCATTTTATTCTGAGATTTAACAGCGCAATTTTAGCTAAGGGGTGACATGCTGAATATCGTTTATCTCGACATCGAGTTGTTGCGCACGCTAAATTAAAACAGAAGCAAAGTTGAAATAGTTTTTGACCAGATAACATCGTTACCGAGATTAAGAGAATTGTATCCCTTGACCTTATCCCTCATCAGATTCGCGCAGAATTAAGTTAGTTTTTTTTCTTTCCGAATCTAGTGTTAAATGTGCGAAAAATTGCGCGGTTATGTTCTTTATGTTCTTAGATCATCATTCTGACATACGAATTCTGATATTCGGGAGATAATCATTTATACAATAAAGTATTCTTTCCCAAATGTCCAAACTGATATTTCACGGGAGCGAAGTAACATAAAATTTCTCTAAAAATCTCTCGCAAGTCCAAAAATACAGACATCTCATGTTGAAAAATGTTTAGATAGAGATACGGCAGTTTTTGTTTCCAAGTGATGTAACCCGAGTTTTATCAAGCCGAACAGAGATTCAACCGACGTACATACATCGACTTCTGAGAACGAAACAGCGATGAAGCAATGTGGAAGAAACCTACCTCAAGGTAGATAATATTCACACGAATAAAATCTAGTCCACACGAATCTAATCCTCAAAAAACTACGAATTGTCGCAACAATTTGTATTGCGCATCTTTCTGTAAATATCAGAGGGATGTTTGTCGTCCAAGTTTTCTTAATTAGTATAATTCTACACTGTAGTCGGCGCGATTAGATTGCAAATGAAAATCTGATAAGATCTGCTCGAAATTAACTGGAGATGGACATTTTTTTGTCTGCTTTGAATACTTGAGATAGAAGATGCACACAATTTTACATTAGGCGAAGTAATATACGGACCAAAAAACAAAACATAATAGGATGCCTGTGTCTCGGCATTGATCCCTCGTTAAATCCGAAAACTCTTTTCTTCACGGGTCGGGTCGGTCTATTACCTGAGTGCGACTTTCGTTAATCTCGGCTTATTACAAAACGACTTACCTAAGAACATAGGCGTCCACTTGATCGTTATGGCAAAAGCTGATGATCTCGCAACGGACTATCTTCAACAATGACTCCCATTTTTGCCTGCAAAAAGAATAGATTTACTCGGTTAGCATGACAGATCGATTGTTTGTCTAAATCAAAATTGACGTAAGTCACCATATGTCACAGACATCGTTTAAAGCACACGTGTCTTTAAAAATTTCAAGAAATTGTTCAGAAAAGCATTTTATTAAAATAGAATGCTATTTTATACCCCGTCAATAGGGTGTAAGCTGCAGAAATTTATTTATGTCTTCTTCTTTGTTCTTATTATATCAGAACATTTAACAGACTTTTTTTTATTCGATAATTAATCTTGCGACTATACGCTATTCGGCAAGCTCGATAAATTTCTCGTATTTATCGCTATCTCTAATTTCCGCGCCATACATTGTTATTAATTTCTTAAAATAATGACAATTTACAGCAAAATTGATCTTAACATAAACAATTTACGAGATTCGAATTACGAATTTTATTAATTATTTGGCATCATATAATAAAGTCTATAATTACAAAAATTTATTGAATAAAAAAATGTACAGGAGAATCATTAACAATATATTTACACAATCAATGCTCTATAACCATATATTTTACTTTATTTATTACAACGGTTATTCTTGCGAGACAGCATTACAATACACGGTATCTGATTGGAAACAAGATTGTGATAACAATAAGTATATATAGTAGTTGTATTTATAGACCTTAAAAGAGTGTTTGAGACGGTTGACCGTGAACTTATGTTAAAGAAGCTAGAAAAATACGGGCTACAAGAAACAGTACTAAAATGGTTTAAAAGTTATCTAACTAATAGAAAACAGCAAGTCAAATATAATGGTGTGTTGTCAAATGAAATAGATTGTAACATAGGAATTCCGCAAGGAACAGTATTAGGGACATTGTTATTTATTATATACATAAACGATATTATTAAGATATTCAGAAACATAAGGCTTTTTGCAAATGACATGATAGTCTATCGTGAAGGAGATAATGTTGATGATATTATTAACGAATTAAATATAGGTGCTGCAGAAACTCAGCAAGTGGTTTAATGTTAATAAACTAAAAATAAATATAGAGAAGACGAAATTTATGATTATAAAAGGAATAAAAAAACAAGTCGAGTATAGAGAAAGAATTAAAATGAACAAAATATATATAGAACGCGTAAAAATTTTCAAATATTTGGGTATAATATGAGCATCTGAATTTTAAAGAAAATGTAGATTATATCTGTAAAAAAGTTAACAAAAAAGTAAGTTTGCTATGGAGAATAGGAAAACTACTGTATGATAACACGAGATGCCAAATATATAAGAGCATAATTGCACCACACTTTGAATACTGCAGCACTTTGATGTATAATATGAATGAGAGCCAGATTAGAAAACTACAAATATGTCAAAATAAAAAAGCAATGCGAGCAATAATTAGATGCAATATTTACACGCCACTAGATTCTATGTTGAAAACCTTATGCTTCCAAACAATAAAACAAAGAATTGAAAGAAGTGTTTGTATTATTATAATAATATTAGGCAAAACGCCGGAGTACCTGCAATGTAAATTAAGTAGGTAGCGTGAACATCATGAATATGATACGCGTAGGAGAAATGATCTATGTATAAAATTGAGTAATACGACAAATGCGCAAAGAAGCATTTTTAGTAATGGAATTTTGAAACTGTACAATAGTTTAAACGAGTATATAAAAAACGCAGATGATATAAAGGATTTTGTTAGACGCCCGCGAACTTAACAAACAACAGACATGTTTATAAGCTGTATATATGTAGTCAGTGACTAAATTAATAATAAATCACTCACACTCACTCAACAAAATTCTTGTGACATTAAGTCAAACACGTGGAACATGTTTATTTGACGTTCGATTATCTTAATCTCTAAAGTGAAGTGATTTATCTTTCAATCCGACAGGGAAAATAATGTGAATATTGTTCTGTTATTCGAGAAAGAGAGAGGGAGGGAGGGAGGACGGGGAGAGAGAGAGAAAGAAAGAGAGAGAGAGAGAAAGAAAGAGAGCTGCAGTTAGGAGAACTTTAACGAATTTTACAGGGGTTCAACGATTACAATCTCGCATGTCAACGAAGCCTCGGATCGGCGTTCCGGCGCGGCGCGGCGCGGCGCGCGGCGTGCGCTCCCGCTTCATCGGCCGGCAGTGGGTAGGCTTCTAAATTTATTGTCCCCGCGATATGCAAAAATAAACAGTAGTCGGCATCGTAGCCGGCCTTTACCCGTAGGCGCACACCTCGGGAGGTTCAACGACACTTGACGTTGCACGTAAACAACTACGACAATCGGATCGCAGTGGATCGCGCCGCTATCAATCGGCGGTTACATAATCGCTACGCTACGCGGTCGCCGCGCGTGTGGATACAGGTTGAGCAAATCTGTGCCTTTTATCTTTTATCACTAATTGTTTAAGTTAAATTTAATTTTATTAATTTAAATTCCATTTCGAGTACTCAAATGTGCTCCGGGCAAAATCTTGGAAATCTCTTTAAAGATCATCAAGCAGGCAAGATCGAGACGTTAACGAATTGAAAGCTAGACCAAGGGGCTTGTCAATGTCAAGAGTCTGATAAGCCTAATCGGGATTTAAAAAAAGAAACCTGCGATTATTCTCTTCAAACAGATTCATGCATGCTTGCGGACTTGCGACTGTTCTTAAATTATTCTAGATCGACATAATAAACAAATTCGAGTGATCTTGAAGAAACGCGCGAGCATCCAAAGAAATAACGTTTCTTAAGAGAATTAAAAAGAGAAATGAAAAGAGAAATACTTCAGAGAAGTGAAAAGATGTTTGCGGGCATTTTAGGATTTTTCACATCCTGATGTCTTTTTAACAGCTCGGTGAAGGTCCTTTTCCTGTCACGAGGAGGCGGACCATTTTGCCCAAAACGCGAGTGTTAATCAAGGGGCCGCACACTTGGCGGAGCCTCGTATTTAGCGCTTATTTTTTGGAAAATCGTCCGTAAAGACACGCGCGTAGAAAATCGACCGAGACGACGTGAACGGTCAGTCCAGTCTACGGACTCCTAACACGGTCGACGCCGGCGCGGCTCGTCACCGTCCGTCCTGGCTTGGCCGGCGTCGACTGTCATCGTTTTCGCGGGGAAGAGGAGAAGGGGAGAGGGGAGGAGGAAGAGGAGGAGGAGACGGTGGTGTCAGCAGCGAGACACCGGCGGGCGGCGTACTTACCGCGGTATCTGACGGAGATCACCCTGATGCTGCTTGAGGCCCTTGGAGCTGGTGAACCAGACCTCAAGAAGCTTTTCGACACCCTCGAAGAACTGCACGTTGTCGGCGCAGTCGTCCTTGGTGTCCGCCATCCTCTCGCCGTCGGCCGCGGGGTTCGTCGTCTTCGCTAGTTCGCTCCACGAAATTGCAAAAGCGGCACGCGCGGGCGATCGCGTAATTCACGTCTCTCTCTCGCCTTCGTTCCTTCCTCCCTCTTCTAACTCTGTCGCGGCTCTCACGATCGCTGATCTCGCGCCGATCGACTGAATGCGTGAATAACACGGAGCGTAAGTACTCCAAGCGCTACTCCCGGTGACGCGCGCTCGTAGACTGACTTGACACACTAACCGCACCAGACTCCAGAGGCACACCGATTGACTGATTGACGGACGGACGGATGGTCGCCGGTGCTGCCAAGCATGCTGCGCCGCCGCCACCGCCGTCATCGCCGTCGTCATCGCCGCCACCGTCAGCCAACCGCCGCGCTGCGCCATGTCTCGCACGCTGCACGGTTCGCGCGCTTCTGCAGCGTGGCGCCGCAGACGGCGCCAGACGGAACTACCTGGCGCCGCTGGTCGCCAACAGGGAACGCTGCGCGCGGGCACGCGCGCGCGCCGCAGCGTGAACCGCGCCGCGAAACGATACGTGAACTGATCGTCACGTCGCTGCCATCGCTGCCCTCGCTTGATAAGCGCGATTAATAACGGGGTTGGACGTTTATGCGTATAAAATATATTATATTTTAATATAATAATCTACGTCTAATATAAATCATGTTTAACATGTTATTTAAACAATAAGTAATCTATGGATCATCGAACATTATTCACATTTCGTCAGAAATACCGGAAATTTATGTTTTGTTTGCAATTTTATTTTTAGTTACTATATTATTCAGTTTGAGCATAATTTTTAGGACGCTACGGAAAATTAACAATAAAATTTTGAAGATCTTGATTTTATATCTATGAAAAAATAAACATTGTGTATATTGCGTAATAAACTAAATAATATTGCTTTTTGTCGTTTAAGGGAATCCTAAAGCCGTCTGTAATACGTTTCTCTCTGGTAATACCGACAATCGTACTTTTCGCTTTATTTTTTATTGGCTTTATGGATTTGAAAAAATCTTGCACAGAATTAAAGTATGTGCTCTACTCTGTGGACAACCACCGATTTTGTAACAAAATAAGTAAATAAGATAATAAACAAAAATCCACTTTAACAATATTTGCTTCGTATAAAAATTCTACAACTTGAACTTGATGTTACAAAATGAGGGTGCAGGTCCATTCAGTAGACATCAAGGAATATCATGCCGTTTGTAGAATTAGGCTGACAATGAGACTCCAAACAAAAAAGTTAAGCGAAAAGTACGATTACGTGAACGTAAAGCCTTTTGCACAATGCCAGGCAACAGGCAATAGGAACAGGGAATAGAAATCAGAAATCATGTATAAATGCAGAATAAACAGTGACACAGGCAATAGACACAGAGTTTCCGTCACGTTGGAAATTCTGTGCCTATTGCCTATTGCCAACCAATCATAGCATTTGAATTTTTTAGGTTGTAATTAACCATTTTTTGGTTATTTCCTGTTCCTATTGCCTGTTGCCTGGCATTGTGCAAGGGGCTTAATGTATGTATGTATATGACACCGGACCAGCAGTATTGCGTGTAGCGAGAGATGGCGCAGCAATCGAAACAAGGACAGATATAGATATTTGATTAGAAATGTTGACATTACCGACATCGAGGAAGTTCGGGTTTCGCTTAGGATCCCCGACCGGCCGTCTTGAAAATTGCTTTGCAACGTACTGTTACAAAATTCATGAATTTGATTGGTTGATTCTATTAATTTTGACCGTAACCAAGAGTATACACCAATCAAATTCACGAATTTACAACAGTTGCAAAGCAGCTTTCTCTGCTGGACTCAGCCAATTGGATCTGTTTTCTATTGCTAAACTAGTGTACACTCTCTGTACTTAAAGTAAAATAGGTATACCGAAAGTACATTCGTAATTCGCCAACAATATAATAAACAATTAGACTTTCATTTCATCCGATTACAATTTGCAAATAATCATCGTGCATGATGAAATACTGTACAAATGACTGTTTAGATGACGCCAATATGACACAAAAATTTAACGCTTAAATTTATGTATAATAATAATAATAAACGCTTAACTTTAACGCTAGAAATTTAAAATCAGTTTCAATAATTCTAAAACTGTCATGGTGGATAGAAAAGCGTCGAGCTGATTTGAGAT